AATTGACCTTTAACGTGGTCGTTGTAGTCGTTAGTAGGTGCATACAATTATCTGGGTGGGATCATCGACAGTCTAGGTGAATGAGACGCAGATGGGAGGGCACGGATTAGTAAAACAAGGGCCGCATTTCCACAACTGACAAATATCTGGAACTCGAAACAACTATCAACAACACCGAAATCAGGATTTACAATACAAATGTCAAGACAGTCCTATTGTAAGTGGAGGAAACTCGGAGAACTGCCTAAGCCATTATCCAGAAGATTCAAGGAAAAATTAAGGAAGCTTTATGTAGCGCCAAGCAATTCTTTCCATTTGTGAATAGTGTAAGACGGTGGCATTCAGATATACCAACGGTACTGTGCGCTCATCTATGCTATTAGGGTAGAAATTTAATCTAAGAATGTGTAAGTACCATGATGTTGGCGCCTAGTCCATTAGTTCCTACGTAAAATTTTCATAATCATCATCAGTGACTTGCTCTGTCAAGTACGTTTTACAGTTGAGGCAAGCTTGTGAATTGAATGGAATATATAATGTAAATAAATCTGATTTACAGAGTGACTGCATTTAGGTTTGGCCGTGCTAGAAATACTTTCAATTAGTAATGAAATATTCTGAGTCAAGTGGTCTGTTTTTTAGCGATGGATATGAGGTATATTTTTCGTCGTTATAAAACACAAACTAGATTGTTCTCTCCCATTCAAAACTGCTTTTAATATAATGACTCCTTGTATCAAACAAGAAGCCCGAGTTGAACTGCGAAATCTGAAAATGTCATTTGAGTTATCAAAAGATCTAGAATGCTCGCAGCGATTCTTTCCAGTACTCGAGGTCATGAAAAGTCATTATGAAAGACAGAATTTAGCAGGAAGGCGTATCGTACTAGCAGTTGCTCATAAGTCGAGAACCGTCCGTTCTCTTCTTGTAAAGTGCAGAAGAGGCTTTAGATTACGGATTTCTCTGCAGGCCACATGACGGAATGTCGAACAATGTAATAATATCAGATTTGGACTACTGACTATATGGTATTCTCTCGACATGGATTCACCTTGTAGTAAAACCATTATTATGGATAGAACGCAATTGGTTTAAGAGACACATTGATTATTACAACTAATTGTAACATTGATTGTTTAACTGTACTTTTTGTTTGCAACACGTTTTACGCGCGAAATTCCTGTTTCTGTTGCTGCCATTCTTCGCTCTATCGGCTCAGTAGATTTGCCCCTTTTTCCTGGGTCGATTTTGGTGTTCTTTTGACACCACGAAATCGCCAGCAAATATATTTTTACCATGGATTTATTTGTCTTCTCAGTGATGGGTCCGTAATTAGTATTCAGTGGTGATTTTAGTCAATCTCAACTCGATCACCACCAAAACCTCTTGCCTTGGTCCTTATTGTCTACCTAATCAAGGTAGAAACTCCGAATTCCGTTGCATTCCACTTTGGTAATTTACAAGCTATTATAAATGCCGTTGAATTCAATTCAATTCTAATGCGAATGGCATCAAGCCAGTGTTCAACAAATAGGCCTAATCGGATATACCGATACTATTTCTTACAATATTCATCCTTTCCTTAGAATTACATACAAACTCCGAAGTTGTATGAGTAACATGCATTGTCCCCATGCATAAATTAGAACCAAATATTTCCTGATCACCTCATGAAATATGAACTAGCATCACCATTAGAACATGTATATCTCTTAAAATCGCTAAGCATCTTATAGTTAACCTGTTTACTTACACACCGCAATTGTAGTAACGAATATTTTACGCGATAACCTGATTTGCGAACTAACCATCATGATCTTTAGTAATTTTTCGTCCCAATAAATCATGCAAACGGAAGATTTTTGACACTAAGGTCATTAGTCAGTAATGCTCGACTCATTATCCCATCAGTGAATCATTTTGATATCATAAATGAAGTTGAGATTGGTCTAAAATAACCGTACCCTGGTGACATAATCTTTATGAATTCTACCCGTATTTTTACAGCGTTCAGTTTACAGTTGTAACCTGATAAATAGAGCCATTTGAATATCTCTCATGTCCTTAATGTTTTAATACTTGTATAGATTGCAAAACAGGTTCGCTTACCACAACAGACACCAGCTCCTGTTCGATATCAGTAAAGTGACACAATCTGGATATAAATGCTGTAAGATTATCACATGTATTTTCAGCAACTGAGTGAAATCATCAAATCACAGAGAAGGGTTTTTATTTTTTGGCTGTGCTGTTTTCATGCCAAACGTTATTTCAAACCAACCCCAGAACTGTATTGTTCTCCGTCTAAGCACTCCGACTTGTCAGTTGATTCATTTGACCCATTGGTTTTGATAAAGTTACACTGGAGTAATTATTATGAATTCTCCTCATGATTTCATGTTTTTTCAACATTACTAACTCCACATGAGCCATTATCTTACCGAATGTTCCAATTGTTTCAGTCACTTTAATGTCCATATGTTCCTCCTTAAACTATATTCATTATAATGAGTATGATACCAGACAAACAAGTGATTTTTACAGAGGCGATCGTACTGTATCCACATTCAATGTTAAACAAAATTCTACAAAAATACAAAGGTAACTAATTTTAGGGACATAAAATGACAGAGCATTCAAACGTGTAGCTACGTCTTCCTGAAAACTAAGTTTATGGTTCCAAATAGGGTTTAGGATAAATATTTTTTTGTGGGTGCTGAACTACTGTTACACAAAGCTTCTTTGAGCACCACACAAAGATAATATGGAAACGCGAATTTTGTGCATAACGTAGGTTATTTCTTCTGTGGGATTTATGATAGTTTTTTGAAAGACTGGGGTCACAATATTGTTAAATCTATTCCTGTACTAGATTTTATCAACTTAGTGACTAGCCTATTACTCATGGAGTTTCAATACATGCACTGTTCTTTCGAGTAGTTCATGTTGGGTTTGTTCAGCGAAATAGTGGCTACGTAGATAATTAGTCGGACTGCACTTGTAGTTTGCAGCGTGATAACTCGACTCTCTACAACACATACTGGAATTTAATAACCCCTACAATTCTTATGTATGCGTTTGTGTGCACGTTTATCAATGTTAAATAGAAATCTGACTGGTTGTTCATCTCCTCCTTATATTTTATAAGTAGTCTATTTCTATATAGATGATGGATCATTTGCATTAGTTGTTTGGTGTGCCAAAGTCGAACTGTATCACTTATCTTACTTATTTGTATTTGCATAGCCTGACCTACAGATAAACATCCTCAAAGTTTTTGGTATTTCACTTCCTTGATGTGAACTAATTTCGATGTAATATGCCATAAGTTGATAAGGCAAACAAATGCAGGATACATGTGTACTTATCAGAATTTTGGCACATGCATTATGGTCCAATTAAAATGTTACCTAACTATGCCACCAGGGTGTAAGTGTCAACAGAAACCGATCTACAAACTCTTTAACCTCCTGTAAATGAGAGAGATGTAAATCTGACTATACCTTAGTATCTATTGACTTTGAGGTACTTTAGACGTGAAGGGGATTTGATTAAGCTCCAAAAGGACATTACATCCATGGAGGAATGGATAATGAAAAACTGTTTAAAACTAAACCAGCCGAAATGTCATGTCATGTACACTCTGACCCACATGAAACAAGCGATCCACATCCTCAGTGGAAGTCCGCTTCCTAACGTCTCCTCAGAGCGCTATCTCAGTTTCATAACCATTGAAAGCCTCCATACCAGTTCTAACTATTTAGTGGACGCAGCCAAGGCAAATGCAATTCTTTACTTTATGCTAAGAAAACTTAGTGCTATAACACCCAAATTATTCTTAACGTTGTCTAAGATATATGCATGCCCAGACCTTGAGGTTCAAATAGTCGTCGCGCCTCCTATCCTTAAAAGAGACATAAATTTCTTGGACCGAGTGCAGAGACGTGCAACTAAATGAGTAATAGGGTTGTAGAATAAACCTCACGAAGATAGACTCCACAACTTTGGATTATTCCATCTAAATTACAGGAGAATCAGAGGTGATCTGGTTATGGCATACAACATATTGAGCACTCCAGACGATCCCAACGTGAGCATCTTACCGCTGCATTACCACCATTCCTTTTGAGGTAATCCTCGAAAAATTACTCGTCAAGGAGCGAATACTCAGGTTCGTGCACATTTTTCTCAGTAAAAGTCATTACAACTTAGAATGCTATTCCAGTGGAGGTGACCACAGACCTCTCAGTGGACAGCTTTGGGAAGAGACTTGATAAACACGTACTCACACACAGATTATCATCTCCCTCGTGGACAAGCTGAGCGTAGCCCATGTCTTGAGACTTACCATTTGTTATTATAGCCATCTCCTCAAATTACAGACTGAAACTATCTCTTTTATTGCCTCCGTTTTCTCTCCCTTGCTTACACTTCAGTCCTCTCGCACAATCCTAACTACCAGTTAATAAACTAAATTATATATACACTTACTGAGCTCCGAAATTTTCTTCTTATTAGCATTAGAATTTTCTCCTTATTATTTACCGTATAGCAAATAACTAATCTTCTGACTGGTAATGTGATATCTACTGGTATCTAGAAACCCTACTGCCTTGAAACAAACATATTCATTCAAATCATGGGACATGCGAATTCACAAACAACTACCAACTAACTAGAATAAGACAATCGAGTGGCTAAACTACCATCCATTGGACACTACCAAACACCTGGAACCCTATCGAAAGAACAAGAATCGAGCGCAAAGAAATCAGATTAGTTATGCCTGTTTGTGAAAAAGATACTGAATATTAGATATTGGAATAACGAAAATGACAATAGACCTGATGAAAATTTCTCACAGAAAGACAGAAACAAGATTTTTTTCTGAAGAGACGAGATACAGCAGTAAAATCGCCACAGGAACTTCTCTTTTTTCGGTCCATAGCTCAAAGTGAAAGTAAACGGAAATACAACGATTTAGATGTTGCGGGTCTTTCAAAATGGACTCTACAGATTCTGAGATATGCGGATGTGAGAGCTCAAACTTTATTCCTTCATCTGAATCCGATCCGCCGCCTCCAGTTTCTTATCATGTAGCGGAATGCAAACCTGGTGATATTCGCACAGAAGATTGTGATACTAACACTGAAAACCAGCAAGCCTTTGATATATCTGATACTGCAGTATCAGATATATCAAACTGCAGTCTTCAGATACCATATATGGTATCTGAAGACTGCAGTTTTGAGTCTCTCAATCCCACTCAAAACCAGCGCAATTTTACTCAGGCAGATGGTGACTGCTTTTATAATTCTTAATTGCTTTAGACTTCCGAGACTTATCGAAGGAGAATTCAGATCCTTCCAAATGTAAGAAATTAGACTACAATTCAATATCTAACACACTTGCACGTAAATTAGTCACAATTTTAATTGAAATTGGTCTTAGCTAGTTCAAAACAATTCTCAGAATGTGTTTTAACAAGCAACACTAAACCATTCAGCCCGGTAAGTTATTTTTAATTCGTAGTTGTATACCTTTTATTCTGTGAGCCTTATAATTCTGTTTATGCATAACAGGCTCTACGCATTATAGTGGTCCTAATTTTTAAAATATTTCCGAAGGCTTATAGCACAAAATCTTTGACTTAACATGTCTATAGATCTAGCTTAGTCCGTTAAATAAAGGAATGTAGAATTATTGCGATTCAAAAAAATTAGCAGTTAAGTTCATATAAGTTTTCATATAAAATGCGGTGACAAGTGTATAGGTGACCAGATTCTTCGAATTGTATGAGGCAAACACATCACATTGTTCAGACCGATTCCAATTTCTAATTTTTAATTTTTGTATTAGTATGAGGAGACCAGTAGAGATTATAGAAAGTTCTTAATGCTGGGTCTTAAGTACGCGCTGCTGAGGAGTCCTATAACTGGATGAAATCGCCTTCCAGTGCTTCCATGTTTTCAGTCATGGCTTGACAATTTAAACCGAAAATCCTGGTCTTCACAAACCCCTCTATACTCATATTAATCCTGTATTCACTGGTAAATAGCTCCCAAATACAATTGAAGTTTTATTAAAAAACTGACCAGTAGAGTCGCGTCATGTCAAGTATGAGTTAGTTATCCTCCTCAGGCAATCGATAAGAATCTTGCGATATCGTGAATTATCCGTATTTTGTATTGCTTTTTGAAAATTTTTAATCAGTGAACTTTCTGTGCTTAAACATCAAGCTAAATCGGATCAGAAAATCACTGGGCCATGCTGAAGATTTATTTACCAAAGTTTCCGAGCCAGCAATGCGTTTGTCAGAGCCTTTGATTGCAAATAAAGTCACCAGTAAGTTTAGTACTTGAACGTTATTCATTATCATAAACTCATCTATTACAATATCTGCGCAGTGATTTCCAAGCCTGACGTCTCGTATGGTCAGCATCTAAGCTTTATTAGGGATTTTTGGTGGATCATGTGGGTGGGGCATGTAGGTTCACACTTTAAGCGCAGTACTGAAGTCGATTTAAATAAACTCAATACTAGCATTTCATGGTTTTCCGGTTAAAGTTTTGTTGCACATATTTGCTGAATTCACCAGTCATTGTGACTGAGTATTTGACCTTTAAAAGTGTACTTATAAAGCCGTATAACTCATTTCTTACATCTAAACTACAGTTAGGTGCATAGGCGGAGGCTGTCGATAGGCATCTATGTGTATGGCAAGTCTCTACGGCCTTGTTTTACTGTACGTCGACTAGGTGATTATTCACCAAGACCCATTGTGTGTATTTTCGCTTTTGGATTGAATCAGGCTATATTAGATTGTTTAGTCATCATGTTAGTTTTATGTGACCGGTTAACTACACACTTTGCATCCTATAAAGTGAGGAGTTAGTAGTTAAGGCTGCCAGATTCTAAGCACTATGTTGTGGCTACTGTTACAAGTTGTCTTTCTAAAAATTTGCCAAGTAACAACACGTACCTTATTATTTCTGCTTGGAATAGGGTTTCGCCATAACTTGATTATTTGGCGCTTATAAAAAGCATTAGATAGAATTATACTACTGCTAATATGAATTTACTATTCCTTACATTTACTTTTCCTATCAAAAGCTATTATATCCTGTTTCTGTTTCGAATGCGAATTGTAATTCATGGAAAAAAACTAATCTTTGTGAATAACCTACCTTTAAATGGTCTTGTTTTACAATCTTTTGAGATTTTTATTTCTATCTTTGCTGATCACTAGATTTTAGGATTCTCAGTTTCACTCACTAAAATAATTGCTGAAAAATATAAAATTTTGGTTGTTTGTTTGATTAATCGGTAAAAGTATAAATGAGTTTGAGTTCATATTTCTTTCATTTGCTTTTAGCCAATTTATGCAACAGTCCTTTTTTGTCTGGACTAGACTCGCATTCATCTTCATTAGCACGGTTGCCTAATTCAGCTTCGATTTTAAATAGCAGCGATGGTGGTGGCGAAGAAGGTGATTTATCAGCTATGCATGATCATGAGAATTTATCTCTTACTGAATCTGATAGTCTAAGTCAGTCAAATATATTCATTATCAAATAAGTATTTTGTTTCTGTTATATCTTTAGTGAAGAATAAAAATGTAGAACTAACGATTAAAAATACATCCGAACTTGTAGGAAATGAAGTCGCAGAGTCCGTAGATTCAATTTTAGCCGTTAGTTTATCTGCAGTAGTTTATCGAATGGATAATACGAACGAAGTAGTTTTTGATAACCGTTTTAATGTCAAAGTGAGTATTGTATTCTTTTTTTGAATATATATTTTTCTCACCAGCGATATTCTTATGTAATTTTACCAAATGAATACTCTCCTCGGGATTATATACTATTCCTATTCGAAACGCTTTTCTTCTTAGATTTCTTATTTACCCTTTTTTCATAAGAAATAAATCAGTGGAGTAGGTCTATTTTTTTAAAGGTTATTCATATAAATCCCAAACCACTATCTTCCTCACTATATTATGGTATATATATATATAATCTCATCAGTTACCAATTTTCCTGAAATACCAACCGAATTCTATCGGGAAAACATTTCCTAGTATGCTGGTCGTTGTGTGTCTGTGCATGTTCTCTTCATTCATTCCCTCTTGTCTGTCATAATTTCGTGTGAGTTTTGTTGATTTTCCGTTTTTGTTCCTATCTAGCTTTAGAATTATTTACACGATATCTCTACCGTGAAAAGAAAAAACTTGCCGACATTTTTGTCATGAAAGGAACTGGTGCGGACCGAGGGTACATCTAACAGATCACTAATTACCTAATTGTTTATATCCTTTTTTTAATTCGACAAAATATGGTGGATTTTTGGCTTACAACAGTTGTGGTCGATCACATTTCCACCCATCAACAACACTAACCTGAATGCACGTGCTCTTACATTCCTTCAAGTTTCATCACTAATGCTAGTTACAGGCTTAAACTGATCTTGCAGAATTGTCTTGTATTCTAATGGTAAGAGGTACATATCGTATGGTCCTACACATACCTTCATGTTGTTAGTTTACGGACTAATAACTAAGAGTGTAAGCACCTTATGTTGTGTAGCTCAGCAGAATGCGTTTGACCTCATATTACTCCTAAAGTGATGATGTTATTTAAGAGAATCAAAACCCATCGTTTTTGTTCCGTTTTTCATCAATTTGTCAATAGTTAAATAAGCCATGTAGTTTGAAAATGATTTTGTCGGTAATGCCATGTAACAATAACCATTTATTAATCTCAACCCTAGAGACATGATTTTATACTATCGTTAATAGATTTTTTATCCTCTAGACCTACCCACCTAACAGTTACTAGTGTGTTGTAGATTCAGTTTCAATCTACTTGCCGCCTTTTTGCTAAGTATCTTAGAAAGACTTTGTTTTTGTTTCCCCCATCTAAAGTGTATATTATTTTAATTTTTCAGGTAAATGATGCAAATCTCAATGCTGCCTATAAGTGGGTGCAAATAAATAGTGCGAAATTAATAGGTGAATTGAGCCTTTTGATGAACTCGAATAACTGTATTACAAATCAGGCAAGAAAATCTTAATTTTACTGTTTCACGTTTGATAATAGACAAACTTTATTACTCTTACTCATAATTGTTTTATAGAGTCTACTGAAAAATTAATAAGTACATAAGTTGTTATTCAAACTGGTATGTTCTTGTTAATCATACTGCTCAATTACCCGGATGGAAGTTAGTAAGTCATTCAACTACAGCTTCATGAAAGTGTTACTGGTGATTGGCTGTTAATAATTTCATAGTCGTGACATGGTCTTACAGTTATATTTTTCAAACAGAAATCAGAGACTAAAATGGAATAACTTTGTTGACACGGATACACTTAATGACGCTGGGAAACCAAAGTATGTAAACTAAAATTGACAGCAGCCAACCAGATAGCAGCAAAGATTATTACAGAAATATGAAATAGGAAAACGTCATTAAAGTTATCCCTTTAAGAAGGAGGCTTACATGAAATTACGAAAGCTAACCAACTTGAGGCCTTCTGGGCATTTATGTGTACTTTTTGTACGAACTTTCCAGCATCCTGATTCATCATCTAGTGCTGATTGGTTGACTGATCAACGTATCCCACTTTTGGGCTAGGTATATGGTTGTTTGGACCTTGACCTACTAAAATTAACTGTTTGGAAATCGGATGAAATAAATTATTAACATTAACGAAGACATTTATGTCAATCTGCATCGTATTAGCAGTTTAGTTTTCTACATTCTAAAGTTCAGTAGTTTTGCTCATATAGTTCATTTGGTAAACCTTTGTAAAGTTTGATCGTCCTTTAACTGAATATTTCATTCTTTGATCTTCGATGATTTCTTTAATTTTTCTATCAAAAATCCAGGCTAAGGCAACAAGCGATTCCATATTATCAACATCACTAACAACTGATTCATCTAATGCGAATGTTTTAAGCTCAAAATCTCTTTTCAGTTCAGCTAGTATATCCGCATCGAATTCTGATTCTATTCAACGAAAAGTAAGAAAAAATCACCTGAAATATTATTGTTATTCTCACATTTTTAGATCCTAATTTGGTTTTTAAGGAAAAGATCTCAGCTGTATGTTTACGATAACCATAACCAATTACAGTCGATGTTAATACTTTTGTTTTTACACCCTGCTATCCTCCAAACGATTACTAAAGATCATAAAAGTTCTACTGCAAACATGAACCGATCAATGTTAGATCACCACTAAAAACCTGAGAGTATTATATGACCTTACTTATCAGTATGAGACTCTTCAGCAGTGAGCACCCACGATCCCAGGTGCAGGAATTAAACGCCTGGACCTTTGGTCTTCCACTGAGTCGTCATCTGATGGTGTTAATGTCTTACTTCAATCAATTTACGGTATTGCACAATCATCGGTGGTTAACTACCTCCCATCTATTTAAACGCCAATAGTTCATAGGAGATATTTTAAACTTGTAAAAAAATATTCACTAAAATAATCACTAAAAGTGGTTAAAATCATGTCATGAAAAGTGTGGAAATAATCAGATTTTCCCCACTATTAGATTGAAACACTTTTTATCACGTAATTTTAATAAGTTTTACTGATTAGTATTTTATTATTCTCGTATATTAAAGTCCCGACCGTAGCTTCTACCTTGACGTGGTGGTCTGGCTTGCCTATCGTGATGACCCAACCGAGCTATATTGGCTGGAACTTATGTTCCTGAAGGTTCTACCATGCCAGGCAGGTCGATAGGAGAACGATGAGACTAAAAGCATCTAGTCAATGTGTGCGGGTGAAGTCGTACTGCTGACTGCAGAGGGGCGTGACAGCAGTAAGGTGTTTCCCTCGGATAACCAGCATCTGCAGCGATGCTGCCTTCTCACAAGGAAGGAAGGGTTAGAAAAGGTCGGCCCTAAAAACGTCACACCCCTAACTCACGTATTTCCGTCACCTTGGGTAAAGGTGCCCACTAAGGGCCTTTAAGAACGGAGCTAATCCTCAAAAAACGTTTCATAAAAAGGCCGTGCGTGACCGGCCTCAAGCAGTTGTCCCTTGGGCTCTGCAGTCACGCACCAACACTAATCTATCTTCCTTTTCAGGTTCCTGAAGAAACAACCTTCCACGGTGTGGGCAGCCGGGAAGTGACAACCGCCCTCGTACCCATAACAGCACGCGAGACCAAATTAGTCAAAATCAAGTCCTTCCTACACCCCCCAATATCTCTCTTATCTCTACGACTAACTCTACTCACAGTCCCTTTTCTCACTGCACCGCTAATGCAGACGAAGCGAGTTCAGGAAACGTCGTTCCTGGTCTCTTGAAACCCCGTTCTAGACTACATGTTGGAGCTTTTAATGTACGGACTTTGTGTCAAATACGGCAACAGGCATCATTAGCTAAGACTTTAGAATCTCGTGCCATCGATGTATGCTGCGTCTCGGAAACGCGCATACAGGATCCTAGTAACATTATTAATCTGATTTCACCTTGTCAAAATAAAGAAGCAGCTCGATTTACTCTTCGTGTATCCGGTAACCCTGATGCTGCTTCCAGGGGTCTTGCTGGCGTAGGCATAGTATTGAGTCCTAATGCAGAACTATCTCTCCTAGACTGGATCCCAGTAGCTAGTCGCTTGTGCTCTGTCCGACTAAACGGGACAGTAAGGACTCGGAAGGATAGGGACACTCGCCGTTGCCTCTTCGTCATATCTGCCTATTCCCCCACTGACTGCAGTTCAGACGAGGTGAAAGATGAGTTTTACAGAAAGCTTCCGGACCTCCTCCCAAAAGCTAGGCGCTCTGATATAGTAATAATGGCTGGTGACTTTAATGCTCAAGTAGGTAGACTGAGTGAAAGTGAAAGACACCTAGGTGGATGTTATGGTGTCGCAGCTCAGAGAACAGACAATTCCAACCGTCTGTTGCAACTATGCTCAGATAACCGCCTATTCTTAGCAAACACTAACTTTAGGCATAAGGAAAAGCACCTCTTGACCTGGCGACCCCCGAAGTCGTCTCACCTAGATCACATTGCCATCAGCCACCGATGGAGAGGTTCGATAGAGGACTGTCGCTCGTTGTGGGGCACATTTCTAGATTCAGATCATGCCCTAGTGCGAGCGCGTAACTGTTTGAGGCTTACTGGGCGTAGGAAATCTGAAGCGAGGACGAGCTGCGGGTCCTGATAGACTGACCCCTGAGATATTTAAGGATGGTGGTCCAGTTTTAGCAGTTAGATTGACTGAGATCTTAGGTAGAATCTGGGCACTGGACGTAATCCCATCCGACTGGTCTCAATCACTGATTGTCCCAATCTATAATAAAGGACAAAAGTCTTCTTGTGACAATCACAGGGGAATAAGTTTAACTAATATAGTTTCTAAAATATTGGCCTCAATAATACTTCGACGCTTAACGCAAGCTCGTGAAGAGCAGACTAGAGAAAACCAGTCTGGTTTTCGACCTGGACGTGGTTGTATAGACCACATCTTCACACACACATTTAGGAGTCCTACAATAGTTGTGTTCCTGGACCTTAAGGCGGCATTCGACTCAGTGGATCGTGAGGTTCTGTGGCAGTGTCTGTCATTGAAAGGTGTACCAAAGAAGTACATTAACCTCATACAAGCTCTCTACTCGAACACCACTGATCGAGTAAGAGCTTATGGCGAACTGTCACCGGAATTCTTCACGTCAAGTGGTGTCCGTCAGGGATGTCTACTCTCTCCATTCTTGTTTAATTTTATCATAGACATGCTGCTAGAAATAACCTTATCCTCGTCTGAATTTTCAGGAGTAGACCTTTTACCAGGTGGCTCGCTTATTGACTTAGAATATGCCGATGACATTGTCCTACTTGGTGAAGACGCTGACAAAATGCAGAGTATTCAGACCACCCTAAGTAACAATGCAAGCATGTTCGGGATGCGGGTTTCCCCCCCCGAAATGCAAAATGTTGCTTCAAGACTGGGTTGCATCGGCACATGAAGTAGTGATAGGGAGTGAAGTAGTCGAACGTGTTGATCACTGCACTTATCTTGGGAGTCTCATCAGTGCTGATGGCCTGGTGACTGACGAAATCTCAGCTCGGATACAGAAGGCTCGATTGGCTTTTGCCAACCTGCGTCACTTATGGCGTAGGCGAGATATCCGTTTGCTGACTAAAGGACGAGTGTACTGTGCAGTAGTTCGCTCCGTCTTACTTTATGTCTGTGAAACATGGCCAGTGAGAGTAGAAGATATTCGTAGGTTAATTGTTTGCGATTATAGGTGTCTTCGAAGCATTGCTCGTATATCCTGGGACACCCGAGTGAGCAACGCTGATATTAGGAATCAGGTGTTAGGTAAGAATGGAAGATCAATAGATGAAGTGCTGAAACTTCGTCAGTTGAGGTGGTTGGGACATGTGTTGCGTATGCCTAACCACCGACTGCCTCGACGAGCTTTGTTTTGTAGTGTAGGAGTAGGTTGGAAGAAAGCTAGGGGCGGCCAAACCAAAACATGGCAGAAATTCATGAAGTCATTGACGAGTGGACTTAGCCATGTCGGTAATTGTCGACTACCTGGTTGGGGTCCGCGAGATGATAATAATCGATGGTTAGAGACCTTGAATGACATGGCTCAAAATCGTTCGCAATGGCGCCAGTGCATTTATTCTTTGTGTTCTCTCAAATCCTAATCTTCTGGGTTCTTCAACACCTCTAGCTTTTACTTTCTAAACTTATCTCATTGAATCATACTTCGTGAATAATATCTTCTAATTCTAACCTCTCCGATTACTGCTAATACCTTTACTACCTTTTCTACCATTGGATTTGAATTGACAATTACATCTCTGTGCTGATGTGGCATGGCAACATGAACTGATGTACTTACGTACGAAGTTCTACGTTGCATCTGACTCACTGACTGACTGTATATTAAAGTATGATGAAGATATAATTTCAAGAAATATTGTTGGCTCAAACCTGTTGTCCTACTGTGTATAAGTAACAGGTGGCTTAGACCCTTTAATCTGATTGATCATTTAGTAATTGCTTCGAATATAGTAAATAATCGGTGGAAATTTATTCATGGTGGCTAAACTTTTAACTAGTCAATATGCACCTTCAATTCTTCGGAAAATTGCTTGATGAGAACTATTCCTCGTTAAATTCAACCTTGCCTGGTATATATTAATGAGGTTTTTCACCATCTCTGTAATATCAGTCCTAAACCTGGTGTTATATTTTAAATCTGTTGATAGACTCACCTTATATTCACCATTATGATTATCGAAGAAAAATAGAGCACATGAAAATACAAGTGTTATTAGAAGAGGAGTATTGTGCGAAATAGTAAGTTATCTATAAAACAACAACGTTGATCGGTAGAAAATGAATACGAACAAATTCTCCAACCTTGATAGTTTTTTAGATGAAATTTTTCGTTGTTTCAGTGCAGTTGGAATATCTAAATCTTAAGGGATATCTGTTAAATTATTTTGTGTCCTTATGTTGTTCATAGTAGGGTAAAGAACAATGTTAAGGATGCAAACCAAAAAGCTATATCCTATCTTGAATAAGATCATATTCATTCTAGAATGTTAAATGCAGTAAAATCAAGGTGTTACACTAACTCATAAAGTCACTAAACGAATATCTCCCTATTTCTTTGAGATGTGTAATAGTGTCGACCAGTTTACTTTTTATATAGATTTCTACATCACTCTTGTAAATTTTTGTAATGACATTGGTTTATAAAACAAGTTAACTGGGTTTTTTAATACCGTCAGTATTATTTATTACCTAACAAAATTACTAGTAGAATAATAAATAAATAAATAATAACGTTTACGTCACATTCCTTTTGTAATCTCAGGCCGAAGATAATCATTGTACTGATACTCATCATGGACTATTTAAATCACCAGGTCGTAATTCATCTTCTGGATCTGAACTTTTTATACCTCGCTCAAAGTATAAAGTAAGAATTTCCAATCTAATTAAATTTCTTTAAAACAAACATCACATCGGAATTTTTACTGCGGCTTTACTGCACACCCTAATAAACCTTCGTTTAGTTTGAAAACTCAATTCAAATCATAAAATAAAGCAAAACCCATCATTGAAATTGTTTACTGTAAATGTTGGGGCTTCCTCAGGATAAAACTTGATGTTTCTTTTTCCTCTATCTATTTGAATTGCTGGAAGATATCTGTAGCTCGGACTAGGAAATTCCTGATAAGAATGTTTTCTTTTCTAGCTCGCTCACCTATTAACATTATATCCCTGAAAATTACTATTTTAGTATTTTATTTTTTTTGACTTACATCAAATTCGTTATTACTGTTGGTATTACTACTACTTATGCCTGTCCTGGGCTTCCCTTTCTAGTTCTTTCCAGTTGTTGTTCATTCGTCTCATGTCTTTCTCTGTTTCTCGGCGTAATGTGTTCCTTGGTCTTCCTCTCTTCCTTTTACCTTGAGGGTTCCATGTGAGGGCTTGTCTCGTGACGCAGTTGGGTGCTTTTCGCAGTGTGTGTCCTATCCACTTCCACCGCTTTTTCCTGATTTCCTCCTCCACTGGAATCTAGTTTGTTCTCTCCCACAGTACGTTGGTGCTGAGGGTGTCTGGCCAACGAATCCGAAGTATTTTGTGAAGACAACTGTTCATAAATACTTGTATCTTCCCGATGGTGGCTGTGGTAGTTCTCCAAGTTTCCGCTCCATACAGTAGAACTGTCTTGACATTTGTATTGAAAATGCTGGTTTTGGTTTTGGTTGAAAGTTGTTTGGAGTTCCAGATATGTATCAACTGTAGAAACGTAGCCCTTGCTTTGCTGATCCGCGCCCTCACACATGCGTCGGATCCACCTTGGTTGTCGATGATGCTGCCCAGATATGTATAGGTGTTAACGTTCTCCAAGGCGTCTCCATCAAGAGTGATTTGGTTTTTGCATGTTGTGTTGCATCGGAGAATTGTGCTTTTTCCTTTATGTATGTTGTGACCTACTGCTGCATAGGCTGCTGCTACACTGGTCGTCTTCTCTTGCATTTGTTGTTGCGTGTGAGATAGAAGAGCCAAGTCATCTGCGAAGTCCAGATCAGCCTGCTGCGTCCTAACTGTTCAGTTGATACCGTGCTTCCCTCCAGACGTTGACGTCTTCATAATCCAGTGGATCACCAGGAGAAAGAGAAAGGGTGAGAGTAAGCAACCTTGCCTCACACCGGTCTTCACCTCGAACGCGTGTGTGAGCTGTCCTCCGTGCATGATTTTGCAGTTGAATCCATCATAAGAATCCCGTATGATGTTAACTATTTTCTCAGGCACCCCGTAGTGTCGAAGAAGCCTCCACAGTGTTTTTCTATCCACGCTATCAAATGCCTTCTCGTAGTCGATGAAGTTGATGTAGAGTGGTGAGTTCCATTCAATTGATTGTTCCACAATGATCCGTAATGTAGCGATTTGGTCAGTACACGGTCGATCCTTACGAAATCCAGCCTGTTGATCTCGAAGTTAGGAGTCTACGAAGTCCTTGGTTCTGTTTAACAATACGCTGTTGAAGACTTTGCCTGGTATTGAAAGAAGAGTGATGCCTGTGTAGTTCTCACACTTTCTGAGATCGCCTTTCTTTGGTACTTTGATCAGATATCCTTCTTTCCAGTCAGTTGGTAATTGTTCTTCATCCCAAATCTTGTTGAAGAGAATGTTAAATATTTTCGCAGTTGCTTTCACATTTGCTTTCATTGCCTCTGCTGGAATGTTGTCTGGTCCTGCTGATTTGCCTATCTTGATTTGTCTGATGGCCAAGCTGATCTCTTAAATTGTTGATTGATTGGAATGTCCGTGAATGCTGCTTCGATTTCGAGCGGGTATAGTGGAGCTGGTCGTTCAGGAGTTCCTTAGAGTGCTCCGCCCACCTGTTTTGCTGTTCTTCAGTGTTGCTGATTACTTTACCTTGCCTGCTTTTCACTAGTCGTTCTGGTTTACAATAGTTTCCAGCGAGCTTCTTTGTTGTATCGTACAATTGTCTCAAGTTTGCGTCTCTTGCAGCCTTTTCCGCCGTCATTGCTAGATCTTCCACATATTTTCGTTTGTCAGCTCTGATGCTCTTCTTCACTTCCCTGTTTGCGTCTGTGTATTCAGCTTGTGCCTTAACTTTCTCTGCTCTTATTCGGCTGACATTGATTGCTGTCTCTTGTTCCTCCTTTCTTCAACTTTTTCAAGAGTACCAACAGCGATGCAACCCTTGTGATGGTACTTGTGACCCAGAACTTCGTGACATGTTGAAGTGATTGCCTCCTTGATCCCATTCCAATTGTTCTTCAGTCTTGCTTCCTCTCCATTGAGTGTATCTTGCAAGGCCTGGAACCTATTGTTGAGGGCTATCTCGAATTCGTCGAGTTTCACGGTATCGCGACGAAAGGCCGTATTAAACATGTGTGATGTCTGCCCCGTTGTTCAGTGCTTCGTTAGTTTCAGTTCCATTTAGGCGACCAGCAAGTGGTGGTCTGAGGCTATGTCAGCTGCTCTCTTGGTTCTCACATCCTTCATGGTCCTTCTCAACTTTTTATTGATACAGATGTGGTCGATTTGGTTCTTAGTACTTTGATCCGGTGAAATCCATGTAGCTTTGTGTATGCGTTTGTGTGGAAATATTGTCCCTCTGATGACCAGTTTGTTGAAGGCACATAGGTTTGCAAATCTCTCACCGTTTTCGTTCCTTTCTCCCAGTCTCTCTCGTAGAATTGATCTTTATCGTCGCCATTGTAGTTGTTGGTAGGTGCATAGCATTGGATGACGTTCATTGTAATGTCCTCTTTCTTTGTTTTATATATATTATATTATTATATTACTTATTCTCTTGCTTACTCCTGTTCCTGACCGTAGCCGCTACCTTGACGTGATGGTTGGGCTTGTCTATCGTGATGACCCAACCGAACTATATTGGCTGGAACATATGTTTCTGAAGGTTCTACTATGCCAGGCAGGTCGATTGGAGAACGATGAGACTAAAAGCATCTAGTCAATGTGTGCGGGTGAAGTCGTACTGCTGACCGCAGAGGGGTGTGACAGCAGTAAGGTGTTTCCCTCGCACGATCAGCATTTGAAGCGATGCTGCCTTCTCACAAGGAAGGACGGGTTAGAAAAGGTTGACCCTAAAAATGTCACACCTCACCCTACCTCACGGATTTCCGTCTCCGTCGGTAAGGGTGCCCACTAAGGGCTTTTGAGAGCGGAGCTAATCATCAAAAAACCTTTAATAAAAAGGCCGTGCGTGACCGGCCTCAAGCAGTTGTCCCTTGGGCTCTGCGGTCACGCACCCAGGCCGTTAAGACCAACACTAATCTTCCTTCCTTTTCAGATTCCTGAAGAAACACCCTTCCAAGGTGTGGGCAGCCGGGAAGTGACATCCGCCCTCATACCTATAAAAGCACGCGAGACCAAACTGGTCACAATCAAATCCTTTCTTCACCTCTTAATAACTTTCTTATCTCCTCGACCAACCCTTCTTTCGCTCGTTTATGACCTCACGCCAATGAAGCAAACGGTATGAGCTCTCGAAATGTTATTCCTGGTCTCTTGAAACCCCGTACTAAATTACATAGAGGAGATTTTAATGTTCGGACCCTATACCAAATAGGGCATCAGGCTTCGTTAGCTAGGACTCTGGAATCAGGTGCAATCGATGTATGTTGCGTCTCCGAAACGCGCATACAAGATCCGATTAAAATCATCAATTTGATCTCACCTAGTGAAGATAGAGACACAACAAGATTTACGCTTCGTGTTTCTCGAAGCCCTGATGCCGCTTCTCGCGGCCTCGCCGGCGTAGTTATAGTATTAAGTCGTAGGTCAGAACTAGCTCTCTTAGACTGGATCCCGTTCGGAAGTCGCTTATGCGCTGTCCGACTAAACTGGACGGTAGGGACTCAGAAAAATAGTGCCACTCGCCGTTGCCTCTTCTTCGTATCTGCCCAAGCTCTCACTGACTGCAATTCAGACGAAATGAAAGATGAGTTTTATAGAAACCTCTCTGAACGTCTCCAAAATATTAAGCGCTCTGATATAGTAATAATGACTGGTGACTTTAACGCTCAAGTAGGTAGATTCAGCAAAAAGGAAAGACACCCGGGTGGATCTTATGGTGTCGCGGCTCAAAGAACCGATAATGGCGACCGTCTGCTGCAGCTGTGCTCAGATAACCGCCTATTTCTAGCAAACACTAACTTGAAGCATAAGGTAAAACACCTTTTGACCTGACGACCCCCAAAGCCGACCCAACGATGGAGCTAAGTAGATCACATCGCTAATAAGCCATCGGTGGAGAGGCTCTGTTGCAGACTGCGCTCATTCTGGAGCACTTGTTTAGGCTCAGACCATGCTGTAGTGCGAGCCCTTATTTGTTTGCGACTTACTGGACGCAAGAAAAATATCGCAAGGAACCCTCTTAGGGCTCTACTTAATGATAATAAAGCTAATAATGACCAGTTTGTTGAAGGCACATAGGTTTGCAAATCTCTCACCGTTTTCGTTCCTTTCTCCCAGTCTCTCTCGTAGAATTGATCTTTATCGTCGCCATTGTAGTTGTTGGTAGGTGCATAGCATTGGATGACGTTCATTGTAATGTCCTCTTTCTTTGTTTTAAGGGATGCTTTAATGATCCTTGGTCCATGAGATTCCCATCCTATCAGTGCCTTCTGTGCATGTTTGGAAAGCATCAGTGCAACTCCTTGTGTATGTGAAGCATTTTCCTGTTCATGGCCAGAGTATAACAGCAGTTTCCCTGAAACTAGTCTCAGTTGTCCTACCTGTGTCCAATGCGTTTCACTGATGCCGAGCACCTCCATGTTGTATCTTCTCATTTCTGCAGCAACTTGAAATAGTCTTCCAGTCTCCCACAATGTCCGAACGTTCCATGTACCTAGGATAATGGTTGCTGTGGTTGTCAGAAGAGGCATCGACCTCGTGACTTCCGAGGGAACTCGGCTTTCATCACGCGACGTCATAATTCTTCTTCCAACTCCCATGTCAGAGTTAAAATGGTTTGAATTATTTTTTCTGGTTAGCGTTTTTTTGGCTAGTTAGTTTATAGTTGGGATGGGGGTCCTAACACCATGCTTAACTCTCCTTTATCCGGGCTTGGGACCGGCATTAGCCCCGAAGGTTCTTCTGGCGTAGTTATTACTGTAGTCATACACCTCATTCTACATAGTTTCTATGAAGGCGTATAATAACTAGGCTTGTGTGTTTCTACTCAGCAAATCTGCTTATCTTGCACACATTCTTGCCTGGATTCTGGATGTTTATTTTCTTGTGTTTGTAAGTAATTGAAAAAAACATCACTCAAAAGTTACTGGCCTTTTTCATTTCTCTTCAAATGTTTTTGGAGTATTTTACATCCTTAATGAAATGCGACAACGTTTTCTGAAGAGACTGGACTCACTGATTTAAAAATCCAACTTAAGACCGAACGATTACACGTTGCATTTTCTCACTAGTAAGCCCTTTCATTCTAACTCAGCATTTATTTCAATCTCCCTATATACATGCATATGTGTAACCGTCCTGCTTTCTATATTTTGACAGTTAAATGTTGGGGAATTCGTTGGCAAATGTTCGATTCGCGCAAGTACAACATCGTCATCAAGTTCTGATCTTTTCATTCCTCGTCCAGCAAATAAAGTAGCATATTTCATGTGCACCGTCTTTCATACTTTTTTAAAATATTTGTATAAAGGGATTATATAGAGCCATTCTCCTTGATTTTGAATGACTAATAATTCAATCTGAATAAGCCGACAGAGACCAAGCGAACTCTGAGTAATTACTTGCCGTTTAAGGCGTTCGACTTTAACCTAAAAATCGCAGGTCCAAACTCCACTCTGCCTACCTTCGTTTGGTAACTCAGGTAGTATCGCTAGGCCTGACACAGTGTGGTTTAAAACCAAGTACACACATCTACACCTGGTGAGTTCATAACAAAATTATGAAAAATGACTTACATACTACAAACAGTCGCCAAGCAAAAACGACGAAAAATATAATATAGAGCGAATTTAATGTTCATATATATATATATATATATATATATATATATATATACGTAGTACTCTTCTTAACTCCAGCATTACCTAGCAATTCTTTGAAGACACCTATGATTGAATAGTAGTACCCTACGAATATCCTCTACTCTTACTGACTGTGTTTTATAGGCGTAAAGTAGGACGGAGCGAACTGCTGCACAGTAGACTCGTTTTTTGATTAGCAGATGGATATCTTGCCTACGCGATAGGTGACACTAGTTGGAGAAAACTGGTTGAGCCTTCTTGTCCGTGCTGAGATTTTGTCAGACAGCAGGTCATCAAGACTGATGAAACCCCCAAGATAAGTGAAGTTGTCTTCACGCTCAACTGCTTCACTCTCTATCACTAGTTCAGGTGCCGTTGCCTGCCAATCTTGAAGCAAAATTTTTCGTCTGGACTGGGAGAATCTCCTTAATTCCTGACGTATTTATTTTCTACTAACTGTTTCTCTTTCTTCAATATTGGCACCTTGAAATGTACTTATTTTTCCATATTTTTCAAAGCGCATTCGTGACCTAAAGGATAAACCAGAGTGTGAATCTATCACGGTAAATACGACAATAGAGTCTAACTTGCTGTGTTCAAGTTTACTTCCTTCATCTCATAGTTCAAATAATAAATCATTACATGGTAAGTTTCTACTTGAAATTAAATCTAGATTTTGTTTTGGTAACTCTCAACCATATGTATCATTTAGTTACGCAGATGACTAATAATTATTATAATTGTAAAGTTTTAACGTTTCTTCATTGCACTTATCTGCACTGGCTTAGTTTATCCTTTCATATCATTGAGTCAGTTACGACGTAGAACTTCGTACGTGCGTACATGCGTTTAGGTTGCCATACCGCATCAGCACAGAACCGCTACTGTCAGTTCAAATCCAATGGTAGTATATATATTAGAAGTATAAGCAGTAATGGAGAAGATTGGGGTTCGAAGACACGATTCGAAAAGTATAATTTAGTGAGACAACTTTAGAAAGAGGTGATGAGGGATTCGGAAGGTTAGGGTTTGAGAGAACACAAAAAATGAATGCACCTGCACCATTGCCAACTATTTTGAGCCATGTTGCTCAACGTCTCTAAACATCTGTCTTTCGTCTCGTGGATCCAACGAGGTAGTCGACAACTACCGACACGGCTAAGTCCACTCGTCAAAGATATATGGATTGCTGCCATGTTTTGGTTTGGCCGCCTCTAGCTTTCGTCCAACCTATATCGCAAAACATATCTCATCGAGGTAGTCGGTGGTTAGGCATTCGTAACACATGTCCCAACCACCTCAACTCATGCAAATTCAATACTTCATCTATTGACCTGCTATCCTTACATAACACCCATTTCCTAACAACAGCATTGCTTACTCGGTTGTCCTAGGATACACGAGCAATGCTTCGGAGACACCTATGATCGAAAACAAGTAACCTACGAATGTCTTCTACTCTCACTGGCCATGTTTCACAGTCATAAAGTAGGACGGAGCGAACTACTGCGCAGTATATTCGTCCTTTGGTTAGCGAACAAATATCTCGCCTACGCCTTAAGTGACGCAGGTTGGCAAAAGCAAATCGTAACTTCTTATCCGTGCTGAGATTTCGTCAGTCACCAGGTGATCAGCATTGACGAGACTCCCGAGATAAGTGAAGCGGTCAACACGTTCGATTACTTCACTCCCTATCACTAGTTCAGGTGCCGAAGCAGCCCAACCTTGAAGCAACATTTTCCATTTTGATGAGGATATCCGCATCCCGAACATGCTTGCATTGTTACTTAGGGTAGTCAGAAAACTCTGCATTTTGTCTGCATCTTCACCGAATAGGACTATGTCATCAGTATACTATAAGTCAGCAACATAGGCGAAATCATCAATATGAATATCAGAGTAGTAAAAGTAGTATCAGTATCAGTAGTAGCAGAGAATATTAGCCATGGACAGTATAATTTAGGAATCAAGAATGAATTCACAAAATAGAGATATAATCTGATTTAAAACTCAGTATCTAAACGAAGATATAGCGAATGGATTTAAGCCAATGTGACCGACGTCTGCAACAGTTAGTCATGATAATTGGGTGGATCTTAACCAGTTAACATGTCCCTACCAATGCACAATCCAGTAGTCACTTGCAGCATAAGCTGATGCAACTTTTTGGACGCTCATAGATTCCTGCCATTTCCATTTTCTGTTCAATAGTAATGCATTGATGCTAACCATCTTTCATCTGACTGTCGTATTTTTCAGTGAAGTCGCAACAGATCATATCCGATATAATATTTCATATTTATTTCGACTATTTTTAACTCTGATAATATTGGTTTATTACAATATATTGGTAAGAAGATAATTGTGTTTGATCATGAAATATTACTGGCAAATCCATGCAACATAGTTCGTTGACAGTACATAACCCTGTCTTTTGTTTTTGGTTTTATGTTAACCATATTATCTGTCTATTTATTTTCACTACAACAGATCTCACTCATCGTCCCTCATTGACTTTGGTAAACGAAACATCTGAAGATACAACAAATGAATCATCTCATTATTCAAAGTAAGTATTCCTATGTAAAATGGAATATATTTTGTACATATTTACGGAACTATGATATTTAATGCAATGTTTGATATTGTGATGTTATGGTATCCTTGCTTCGACCAACTTCAGATTTTACTGTTGGTATTGGAAAACGCCTTAGCTACCAAACAGACGTCTCTAAAACAAGTTACGTTGATTATTTAGCTCGACCAGTAATTAGGAACAAAACTATCACAAAATACTATGAACTTATCAGTCATAAATACCACTGGTTTGGAGAGACTTCTGGTCGACGATAACCATCAAACACAGTCAGTCATGCGTAACATAGTACTTGGCTCATATGTGTATCGGTTCAAGTTGCCATATCGCGCTAGCATAGCGAGAAGAAACTAACAAGATAAATCCCAAGAAAACAAGTAGTCGTTGTATCCGCGGTAGTAGAAAATATTGAGTATAGATAAAAATATATAAGAAGATTTTGTGACTCTGTATTTAAGCGAAGACAGAGTGAATGCATCTCCACCATTGCGATTTATTCTTAGCCATGTCCCCAAACAGCGATACAATAGTCCCACTGACCTCAAATAAAGAGTCTAACCCTACACATATGAAAGTACAATTTTCAGTAACTTCACTAACTGACAAATTGATTGGGCTTCGCTTAGCTTCCTTCTAGCCCATTACGGCACCCAAGTACTTTATCTGTTTCCGAAAAATGATTAGCATTAAAATATGTTACATGACTTTAATATTTTTGTTATGAGAAATTGATTAATAGCATTGTTTCACATTATGAAAAGGTTAAAGGTAATTATAATAAACTATACGAAGTGAAAAATATCGTATTATTCAGAACCAGGCTTTTATATCCCATATATTCGTGTCGTGTTTTAAACTATATCCCCCCTAATTTAGTCTCAGAAATCGCTTACTTTACGTGACAACATCTATAATGTTGCTCGAAACTGCGTACATAACTTCGTTCTTGATACATTGGTTTTATTCAAATGGCATCCTGAACTAAAATGTAAAACGTATGAGGAAGTAAATTTAAATATTGCTATATGCTGAACTTTTTACCTGTTGCTCATATTCTTTCTATATTTCTAAAAAGCTTCCTTTACTTAGATGGGTTTCTTCGACTAAATTTTTTAAAAAGGTATAGATTTTCTGTTGTGTATTATTTCCCCCTGAAGTTAATTTCTATCAGAAATATTCATAACATCGAAAGTGAAATTTATCATGCTTAATAGAAAACACCTCGAAACTGAAATTCAATTTTTTTCATTAGATATAATAAATATGTAGTAAATCGAATCGATTGTTGCTCGGCTTATAAAAAATCTAGTGATTTTGTTTCTAAATAACTTATCAATGCAAATTTCCTCCAAAAACCACCTTTTTTCTAGCACTGAAGCAAATCAACTTGTTCCACAGACTGATACAGAGTATATATCGGATTCACATAGTGGTGCAACGTTGGGGACGAAAACTCAAGTTACAGGAACTGAAAATACTGCTGTCACTTCAGGTAAATTAAATCCAAGTATATTTTTGGTTTTTCAGTTTTTCATATCCCCTGTAATCGTTGCTTTTATCCGTCTTACATCAACATTCACAACTTTGATATTATCTTCCTCACGTTCATAATTACTTATTCTCTTGCTTACTCCTGTTCCTGACCGTAGCCGCTACCTTGACGTGATGGTTGGGCTTGTCTATCGTGATGACCCAACCGAACTATATTGGCTGGAACATATGTTTCTGAAGGTTCTACTATGCCAGGCAGGTCGATTGGAGAACGATGAGACTAAAAGCATCTAGTCAATGTGTGCGGGTGAAGTCGTACTGCTGACCGCAGAGGGGTGTGACAGCAGTAAGGTGTTTCCCTCGCACGATCAGCATTTGAAGCGATGCTGCCTTCTCACAAGGAAGGACGGGTTAGAAAAGGTTGACCCTAAAAATGTCACACCTCACCCTACCTCACGGATTTCCGTCTCCGTCGGTAAGGGTGCCCACTAAGGGCTTTTGAGAGCGGAGCTAATCATCAAAAAACCTTTAATAAAAAGGCCGTGCGTGACCGGCCTCAAGCAGTTGTCCCTTGGGCTCTGCGGTCACGCACCCAGGCCGTTAAGACCAACACTAATCTTCCTTCCTTTTCAGATTCCTGAAGAAACACCCTTCCAAGGTGTGGGCAGCCGGGAAGTGACATCCGCCCTCATACCTATAAAAGCACGCGAGACCAAACTGGTCACAATCAAATCCTTTCTTCACCTCTTAATAACTTTCTTATCTCCTCGACCAACCCTTCTTTCGCTCGTTTATGACCTCACGCCAATGAAGCAAACGGTATGAGCTCTCGAAATGTTATTCCTGGTCTCTTGAAACCCCGTACTAAATTACATAGAGGAGATTTTAATGTTCGGACCCTATACCAAATAGGGCATCAGGCTTCGTTAGCTAGGACTCTGGAATCAGGTGCAATCGATGTATGTTGCGTCTCCGAAACGCGCATACAAGATCCGATTAAAATCATCAATTTGATCTCACCTAGTGAAGATAGAGACACAACAAGATTTACGCTTCGTGTTTCTCGAAGCCCTGATGCCGCTTCTCGCGGCCTCGCCGGCGTAGTTATAGTATTAAGTCGTAGGTCAGAACTAGCTCTCTTAGACTGGATCCCGTTCGGAAGTCGCTTATGCGCTGTCCGACTAAACTGGACGGTAGGGACTCAGAAAAATAGTGCCACTCGCCGTTGCCTCTTCTTCGTATCTGCCCAAGCTCTCACTGACTGCAATTCAGACGAAATGAAAGATGAGTTTTATAGAAACCTCTCTGAACGTCTCCAAAATATTAAGCGCTCTGATATAGTAATAATGACTGGTGACTTTAACGCTCAGCAAAAAGGAAAGACACCCGGGTGGATCTTATGGTGTCGCGGCTCAAAGAACCGATAATGGCGACCGTCTGCTGCAGCTGTGCTCAGATAACCGCCTATTTCTAGCAAACACTAACTTGAAGCATAAGGTAAAACACCTTTTGACCTGACGACCCCCAAAGCCGACCCAACGATGGAGCTAAGTAGATCACATCGCTAATAAGCCATCGGTGGAGAGGCTCTGTTGCAGACTGCGCTCATTCTGGAGCACTTGTTTAGGCTCAGACCATGCTGTAGTGCGAGCCCTTATTTGTTTGCGACTTACTGGACGCAAGAAAAATATCGCAAGGAACCCTCTTAGGGCTCTACTTAATGATAATAAAGCTAATAATATATTTCAGGAACAACTGAAAAAACAGTCAAGCAGCCATGTAGTAAGTGATGCTCACTGAGAGGCAGCTTGGAATGATATCAAAAAGGCTGTAGAAACAGCAGTGATATCTGGTCGTAAGGTAAATCATATGGCTAGGGTCAAGCCGAGCATCTCAGTAGCATCTACCGAACTGATGGGTGCTCGAAAGCTCATCCTGCCTGGCTCTGAGTACGATGAGGAGCGAAGTCAGCTTGGGCACAGGCTGATAAAAAGCCTTCTCAATGATCGAGAACAGTGGTGGGTATCGAAAGCAAGGGAGATGGAAAACGCGATAGACAACAGTAGGCAACTATTTAGACTCATCAAGGAAACCGGTATTAGGAACCCGAACGTGAGACTATCGGAAAAGGATGGTTTCATTATTCATTCTCAATCCAGGAGATTGTATCGATGGTCAGAACACTTTAGGGATCAGTTCAGCTGACCTTAAGCCACACTTCGGTTACCCACGATCTCCAGTCATCCTGAATGGCAAATCGACGTAGGTCCCCCTAGGCTTTATGAAGTTGAAAAAGCGTTAGGAAATCTGAAGCGAGGGCGAGCTGCAGGTCCTGATAGACTGACCCCTGAGATATTTAAGGATGGTGGTCCAGTTTTAGCAGCTAGGTTGACTGAGATCTTAGATAGAATCTGGGAACCAGGTGTAATCCTATCCGACTGGTCTCAATCACTGATTGTCACAATTTATAAGAAAGGACAAAAGTCTTCTTGTGACAATCACAGAGAAATCATTTTAACTAATATAGTATCTAAAATATTGGCCTTAATAATACTCTGACGCTTAACGAAAGCTCGTGAAAAGCAGACCCGAGAAAACCAGGCTGGTCCTAGAACAAAGACATGCGTTCAGACGCCTCACAATAGTAGTATTTCTCGACGTTAAGGCGGCATTTAACTCTGTGGATCGTGAGGTTCTGTGGCAGTATCTGTCATTAAAATGTGTACCAGAGTAGTACATTAAACTTATACAAGCTCTCTACTCGAACACTACTGGTCTAGTGAGATCTTATGGTGAACTTTCATCGGAGTTGATTACTTCAAGTGATGTCCGTCACGGCTGTTCACTCTCTCCATTCTTGTTTAACTATGTCGTAGACACGCTTTTAGAGTTCACATTATCATCGTCTGACTGTTCAGGAGTGGACCTTTTACTAGGAGACACGCTTGCTGACTTATAGTATACTGATGACATAGTCCTATTCGGTGAAGATGCAGACAAAATGCAGAGTTTTCTGACTACCCTAAGTAACAATGCAAGCATGTTCGGGATGCGGATATCCTCATCAAAATGGAAAATGTTGCTTCAAGGTTGGGCTGCTTCGGCACCTGAACTAGTGATAGGGAGTGAAGTAATCGAACGTGTTGACCGCTTCACTTATCTCGGGAGTCTCGTCAATGCTGATCACCTGGTGACTGACGAAATCTCAGCACGGATAAGAAGTTACGATTTGCTTTTGCCAACCTGCGTCACTTAAGGCGTAGGCGAGATATTTGTTCGCTAACCAAAGGACGAATATACTGCGCAGTAGTTCGCTCCGTCCTACTTTATGACTGTGAAACATGGCCAGTGAGAGTAGAAGACATTCGTAGGTTACTTGTTTTCGATCATAGGTGTCTCCGAAGCATTGCTCGTGTATCCTAGGACAACCGAGTAAGCAATGCTGTTGTTAGGAAATGGGTGTTATGTAAGGATAGCAGGTCAATAGATGAAGTATTGAATTTGCATGAGTTGAGGTGGTTGGGACATGTGTTACGAATGCCTAACCACCGACTACCTCGATGAGATATGTTTTGCGATATAGGTTGGACGAAAGCTAGAGGCGGCCAAACCAAAACATGGCAGCAATCCATATATCTTTGACGAGTGGACTTAGCCGTGTCGGTAGTTGTCGACTACCTCGTTGGATCCACGAGACGAAAGACAGATGTTTAGAGACGTTGAGCAACATGGCTCAAAATAGTTGGCAATGGTGCAGGTGCATTCATTTTTTGTGTTCTCTCAAACCCTAACCTTCCGAATTCCTCATCACCTTTTCGTTTTTAAGCTTCTTTCCCTAGGTCCTACTTCTTGAATATTATGTCTCAACCATAATCCTTTGGATTACTACTAATAATTCTGCTACCTCTACTGTTATGGGATTCGAAGTGATAACTGCACCTCTTTGCTAATGTGGTATTGCGACTTGAACTGATGTGCTTACTTACGAATTTCTGTGTTTTTGTTGACTGACTGACTGAGTATGAGTTGGTTTTCGAACTGTTTGAGTTTCACGTTTCCTGGTGTTGCTCCTTGTGAATAACAGATACTGGAATGGTTGTTTGCTGCCTAATTGTTTCAAGAATAGATTTTCCATCATAGAAGGCACTTGGTTAAATCGCAAGTACTTTGCAGTTGGTCCTTTGTTCTGTTAACAAATTTGTGGTTTTCATAGCGGACCCAGTTTCCCAGCCTGTTTATTGGCAAGACAAAAGTTCTATTGTTCTGAATACTGCCTCTGTACTTAATCCTGATATAGGTTATTTCTAGGACATTCCTATTTGCTGCTTGGATATTTTACTGTTGAATTCGAATTTTATTGTTATATTTGAATCTAATAGCTCAATCATCTCAAACAATATGCTTTATGGATTTTAATCGTAATCAGTACAATATCTAGACATCAGAGTTAAGTCTGTCACCTGTTACCATTAAATCTACACTATCCGTTTTTGTATAAATAAATATATGTTTGTTGGCACCGTCAGTATGATACCATAGTTAGCATTTGCTTAATATGGCTTAACATAGTGTACCGCCTTTCGTACCAGTGTAATTTCACCATGGCTTTTTCTGTCGTCCCAAATATTAGGTTTTATTATATATATATATATATATATATATATATATATATATATATATATATATATATATATCATCGTTACTCGATCCGTTTTCTCAGTTTTTCCTTTGTTTTCCATCAAGTACTATGATATAAAATAGGTAAGGCGGTCAAATTCAACATCAATAGAACAAAATTGATCGTAGTTATCATGTTGGATTTGTCTCAACTATAGATGCAGTATTCTGTTAGTAGTTGTGTAATTCACAGAGGTTTTTGTCACAAATATGGAAAATCATTGTACTTTGTTTTCATTTTCTTTTAATTTCTTATAAATGTAGGCGAACAATTTGTATATGGCAAATGGAAAACGGAAAAAAATTATTACGCTGGTAAAATATATCCTACTGAATCTGGTTCAAGGTAAAATGTTTTACGTTCTAAATTGTATAAGTATTATATTTTCTCTTTAAAATATAAAATGCTTTTTGAGAATATTTACTTTCCTTCAAACCGGTTATTATTACCAGCCTGCAATCACAAAAAAACTTCAACTATTTTTTAGACTTGAGAGAACTGTTTTAGCAGATTCAGAAATGATTCATACTTATAATAGTTCGTTCATGCTTTAATTATAGCTCATTCATTATATATTGTAAATTCTCCGCATGAACATCATCAATTTATCGTATCTTTATCATTCAAAAATCAACATCTTACTTTTCTCAAAGTTCCAGTAGCTCAACTATGTTTAGTAAGTAGATATAGATTTATTCTTTTTCTGTTCTGAATACAGCGTCTGATGTCGTTCCAAATAGCTTAATTTTCCGTCATTTGTTCTTGCATTCGACTACGGATTCATTTTAGTTGCGGTAGCTGAATTTTATGGCCAACCGTTATTCAAAATAAAGCATAAAGATTTATCAGGTCATTCCTTTAATTATTTTAATGATTTGCATTAAGTAACTGGTAGATTTATTAAACTCAACAGTTGTTGCGCTTTAATCTTCTGGTTCTGATATTTCACTTTAAAGCATTGCATCATTGCATCATTGTACTTCACCTGTTGAGGTTTTTTTCAATTAGATTACCTAAAACAGATTGACTTTATTTCCATAAATATTTTTCACTTTAAATCTTCGATTGTTTTCTCTTTGAATCGTTTCACATAGATGTTTTGTTATTTTCGAAGATGGAACAAGAGCAAGAATCAAACAATCTGATTTGTTTGTAGCATATTTATTACCTGTTGGAGCTGAGGTTAGTCAGCTTAAAATTTGCATTATATCTTAATTATTATCCAATGGTTTGAAGGCAGTTACTGAATTAATGTATTTCTCACTATTTGTTGTTCTTTTTTCTCTAGTTTGATTTCTTTCAAAGTATTCATTCGATAGTAATGACCTTTTGTAATCGATGAATTTTATCAAAAACTGGTGGTCGCTTTTTAGAGATTACGTTTAATCGACATTAACTTAATCACCTATTTGGCCGGAATTTAGCTTCGGTTTTTTGCTACAACTTTTTTCAAACACCTATTTATTCACAGCAAGCTTTGACGTTAACATCACAAACTACCCATGCTTTATCTCAAAGCTGCCAGCATTTCAACCCAAACGTTATGAGTTCACTGGTTACAAATTCCTTCATATCCTTCGACTCTACGTAGCTTATTACTAGAGGGAGTATTGTGGATTTGCACACTAACCACTTATAGGTTTCTCTTAGGATGTTCATCCAATATCCTAAGAGAATTAGTTGCAAGTCTAGTTCTATTGGTCTATTCCTATCAATGTCACATACTTCAATGTTGTTTCTTATTCGACCTAACTGTATAAATACGTATTATCTGTAATGTTTTATGACCCGTACCCTGATCCCTAGTCCGGGATCCTGATTCTCTTCTGGACTCGGACCTCGTACTTTCTGGATGCTTGTAGAATATAGGCTCTACTTCATATCAAGTCTTCTTCTTTTACTCAATGGGGATTTGCGACGCTCGGATTAAAGTAGCCTGTCGTGTCGCCGTCTCCTCGATCCTCGCTCTCGTTTTCGGACTAAGTTGAACTTGTGATAGTTCAAGCATATCAAGTGACGTGTTTACATGCGTGCATAACAGTTTCACCAACCTTAGTATGTTATGAACTCACTATCTGTTTATGTTTGAGTAGCTGTCTGTGATTTTAATCCAACGTACAGGAGATGTTATCAACAGTTCAATACACGTTATACTATGCTTACTTCTTTAGGCGAACTGTCTATCGTTATCTGCCAAACCATAGTGCCCTAATATTTCGTCCTTGACTTTTTTGTCTTCTTCACTAAAGGTCAGTGCTGAATTAAAAGATGATAACGAATATTGGGGTGATTGTGTAATTCAAGCCCATTTGAGTGATCCTGAACGCCCGTATAAAGTTTTTTGCCGTACTACAAATGAAGTTTATTTGTAAGTTAGTTTTTTGCCTATTTTTTCCCGTTTGTAAGTGATCTCTGTGTTGTTTTCTGATTTCGCTGTTTGAGTCGCACTGATACGTATCTTCTTCATTGTGTTCCTACTATGACAATGTTGCCTACATAAAGTTTACGCTTAATATTTTTGGACACTTTTTAAATGGTTGTCAAATCAGAAAACACGACTTGGTCAGAAACGTAAATCTCTTCCTAAACAATCAACAACTTAATACGGTAAGAAAATGTCAGCGTATAATTATCAATAGACTAGTCAGTGCTCTCCATCTTAGTCGTACCTGGAACACGCTTTGATCAATTCTCCGTCCTACTAACTAATATTTTTCCTAAAGCTTGACACTGGACGATTAATTAATGGTTGATTACTTTGTTATCCCTCTCATGCATTCAGCCAAATGACCGGAAATATCATTCTCGTGTATTTTGTAGTATACTAATTAATTTAGTTTTCTGTCTTTTTTTTAAATAATAAAACTATCGTAGTCAATAAAGGCAGACTGTATATAACTCGGTAAAATATATATTAGTTCACATTTCCATTTTCCTTTCAGTAATATTTTTATGGTCCTATCAATAGATGTTTATTTAAAATAGAATAAACTCGCAGGTTTGCAACTGTATGACGTTACAATTTAACTTTTGAAAATTATATATATATATATATATATATATATATATATATATCTGCAAACCCTCATACAAATCGCAAGCATAATGTTCCTACTTTTCATTCAGTTTACGACGGGGTCAAGTATCGATACGTGAGTCAGAAGTTGATAATTTGAAAAAACGATTACTATTACCTTCAAATCCTTGTGATATTCAAAGTTCAGTTGAGAAGGGAAATAGCACTAGCATGAATGATAATTCTATAACGAAAATATGTGCAAGCCCAGAAGTAAGAAAAGTTTATTTTTGCTGTTAATTACCCCTTGAAATCATATGCATACACTTGGTTGTCTCGAAAATCTTCGAATAAAAACTTAAGCTTCTCACTTAATTTTTTTGAGCTAATAAAATGTCTAAAACATTATGAATCTCTACAGTTAATTTTACATCCAATAAAATTGATCAACTTTGGATACAGAGTACTAGAAAAGCATGTAATTAGTATGCAGCGGAGCTTTACTTGAAAGTTACTGCCAAATTGTCAGGCGATCGAAATGCAGCACGTAACCAGAGTATTTTGGAGACATTAAGAGGAATGAGCTCAGACAATCAATAACCTGCTTGAGTTCCAAATAGATGACTGAAGACTGTGTACATATTTTGTAAGCAAACTGTGTCTTCTCCAGATCTATGTATTTTATCTGGTCTTGATTTTGAATATTACACTAGGCAAGAATGGCTAATCCGTTGCTGAGCGAGTGTATTTTCATCGATTGGAATGGTTAGAACATATGTTAAATGTGTGCACTCATCTCTTACCTCAACGCGCAATGATGGCTGTTGTAGGAGTAAGCTTTAAGAAAACTAGGGAGGGCCAAACCAAGACACATTTTCAGTTCATGAAGACATTGAATGTTAGACTGAATCGGGTAAATAGTTTCACACTATCTGATTGGGATCACCGTGGTCATTTTAACCAGTTTTCAGAGACTTTTGTGACATCTCTCAGGATCATTCATAATGTCGTAAGGGCCTTTACGTTTTGTCTTCTCTTAGATCCTAATTTTAGTAAATTGTTGTTTGTACAGTTATATCACTATTTCATATATATGATGGTCGGCTTTAAGCCTAGTGTTTAACTACCCAGTTACTGATTTACAGTCTTAGTTTTAGTGTTTCAAATTTATAATTTATAACCATTGATCAAGTGATAGATTTGTACAAGGTTTCACTTTTTTCGTGAAAGTAGTCATCATTTTTCTCAGTTTAAATGTTTAATGTCGATTTTCATCATTTCCAGTTGCTCACAGAGACTAATGTTAGTAGGGATTTGATGTATAAATTGACATATTGTTATTCAGTTAGTTTCATAAACTACCAACCGTTGTTGTTTAAAATGTGTTACAGATTGTCAGTTTGTAATCTTTGTGATAATCTGGTTTTACCGTGGATTTGGATCCACAAGATCAGGCTATCACAGTGACAAAGTTTTTCGTTTCATTCCTTCTCTCAATGGAGAGGGTGCTCGACTCATAGCTACTGAGTCTCAGGCTGAAACTCCGCCTCACTTTGATCTGAGAAAGCGGGTAGTATCACTAGAACTCACACCAATAATGAGGCTTTAAGCCAAGTACACTGATCTGCATCTAGTAAGTAAGTTGAACGCTAGTGATTAAATTCAATGGTGAAGTACTAATTTGAAAATTCTGAAGTTCACTTTTCTTAAATTCAGTGAGTCCGAATTCTGTCTACTATTCGTATCATCATTTTTGTAGCGTGAGTAAATATTCAAACTAGCATACTATTCATCCTACATAAATGATTTCTCAATTACTGGTTAAATTTATTTTCTTAGTTTTTGTCATTTTATTAAAATGATAAATCATTGTAACATTTCCTTAATTGTTCACAAAGGTTAGTCTGTCCAACTTAGTGTTTGACAAGAGAAAGTCAAAACCAAAACTTTATCGATCCAGTTGGATCACACCGATGAAACAATTAACAGATGTTCGGAACGATGTCACTGATCAACATTGTAAAACATTGCCGAGTAAACTTGTAAGTCTTAATGCTAGTGTGTTTAATTATAATAATTGTATTATGGTGTGTCAAAAAAAACTGATAATTAGTCAAAGGATGAAGCATTCAGTTATACTTTGTAACGTTTGTGTTACACTGGTTATATGGATATAGATAAGGTTGTCTACTGGATACGAAATTCGGATCTTTTTTCTTTACGCGAAACTGTGTATTCTGCAAACATTTCTGGGTAGTGTTTTGAAAGCCTTTATTAATACCTTGTTTCTTTGTATGCTAGCTTTGAACTGTTGGCTTGCTTAACATTTTCGACTCTGCAGCAAAGTGAAGTTAGTCAATCAACATAAAATTGATGTTTTAATTTGTAGTGTGATTTATCTTATTGGCTTTTGAAGGTGCTTATTGTTTTTTATAACTTTATCTTTATAATAAGTGTTTAAATATTTTTATCGATCCGATGAATGAAGTACATAGTTTCGCTTTGTTCGTACATTATTGTTAAAGTGTTATTATCCAACCATCTTAATCATTTTAGGCATTGTCTGCACATCTACGCAAACGATATAGAAATCAGTTTAAACGAAAATTACCAACAACTTCTGTTCGAATTAACGCTTTACGAAATAGATCTGGTAGTCTTAGTGAACGTCCGAGTCTAGTCAAGAGACAACGTCTTTCTGATTTGTTTTCGGATGATGAAAATTTATTAACGCAACCTATGTCTCTGCAAACACCTGTTTCAAAGACAGAAACTTCCAGCAAAGAAAACGGTGTGTTTTATTTTATCTACTTTTTATTTTGTGAGGTTGCCATTCTTGGTAGGTTCTAAAATTTCAAAACATTGTAAATTTTGATTATAGTGCTCATTCAGTCAGCTACAACGTAGAACTACATACGTACGTACATCAGTTCGAGTTCTATTAGAAAGATGGGATGGTCAGTTCGAACACCTTAGTCGTTTGAATATTAGCAGAATTAGCGGTAATCGCAAAGACTAGTGTTCAAAGGTATGATTCGAGAAATGTATCCCAGTGAAATAAATTCAAAAACAGAAAAACAGTCGTGAGGAAATCAGAATACTAGGATATGAGAGAAGAAGAAGAATGGATGCACTTGTGTCACTGCAAACGATTTTGAGTCATATCATTCAAAGTCCCTAACCACCGGTTACTATTGTCTTGCGGATCCCAGCCAGATGGTCTAGACCTATCAACATGGCTCAGTCGAGTTGTCAGTGACTTTATGGATTTGTAGTATGTTTGGTTTGGCCGTCCCCAACCTTCTAGCTTTCTTCTACATCAGACGACGTCGCTCGTCGAGTTGGTCGGTCGTTGGGTATACATAACACATTTTCCAACCACCTCAACTGGTGAAGATTTACTACCCCATCCTTACGTAGTACTCTTTTCCTAACTCCAGATTTACCTAGTCGGTGGTCCCAGGATTCACTAGCAATTCTTCGAAGATACCTATAATTGAATAATAGTACCCTACGAATATCCTCTTCTCTTACTGACTGTGTTTTATAGGCGTAAAGTAGGACGGAGCGAACTGCTGCACAGTAGACTCGTCCTTTGATTAGCAGATGGATATCTTGCCTTCGCGATAGGTGACACTAGTTGGAGAAAACTGGTTGAGCCTTCTTATCCGTGCTGAGATTTTGTCAGACAGCAGGTCATCAAGACTGATGAAACCCCCATGATAAGTGAAGTGGTCTTCAATTTCAGGCGCTGCCAGAGAACCTCCTAGTCAACAGAGTTAAACGCCTTCACCGTTCTTAAATATCTCAGGGGTTGATCTATCAGGGCTTGCTGCTCTCTCTCGCCTTAGATTGCCTATAGCCTTTCAACCTCATTTACATTTAGAGGACTTATCAACTTGCAGTTCAGATTGACTGGATATCGTGGGTAACCGAAGTGTGGCTGAATGCTAGTTGTACTGCTCCCTAAAGTGTTCTGCTCATCGATCCAACCCCTCCTCGATTTGGAAATGAATAATAGTCCCGTCATTTTCTGATAGAATCTAGCTAACAGCCGGATTTCGGACACTAGTTTCCTTAATTGGTTTGAACGGCTGTTTATTGTTACCCATTTCCTTTTCCATCAGTCTCGATTTCTCTACTCACCACTGTTCGTGACTATTGCGCAGGCTTTTTATTAACCTGTGTTTATGCTGCCTTTGCTTCTTATCGCGTCCGGAGCCAGAAGGGATGGGTTTCCGAGAATTTATCTTTTCATTAGATGCTACTAACATCTATGTATGTATACACTTGGCTTTTTCATCGGTAAGAACTCTAGGGGGTTTCCTTGTTTCATCTTTCTTACGTTCATTAAGCCACTTACAGATACATTCTCGTACTAGAGCATGGTCCGAGTTTAAACATGTGCTCAAGATTGAACTTTACTTTCCTATCGCGCCTCTTCATCGGTCTTCCAGTTATGTCTAACGTTGAGTTGACTTTGGGGGTCACCAGGTCCAATAATGTTTTCCTTATGTGCAAAGTTGATATTTGCCATTTTTACTCTATTTTACTCGAGTCCTGTATGCGCGTTTCTCAAACGCAGCCTGCATTAATGGTGTGTGTTCCTCAAGTCTTATCTAATGAAGCATGTTATCCTGTTCGGCACAAGATGCTAACATCAAAAGAGCGGAGTTTTAGAAAACTAGCAATAAAATTTCTTGAACTCAAATCGTTAGCATTTGTGGGGCGAGGTGATACAGCAATACGAGAAGGGTTATTGGAAGAGACAACAGAGTTATTAAGAGGTGCAAGAATGATTTAGTTGTAACCAGTTTGGTGTCGTCTGCTGTTAGGTGTATGAGGGCGGATGTGTTATGTTCGTCACTAGGTACCCTTGAAGCTATTACGAGTTCACCTTAGTCAATAAACACGAACGAGATAATTAACAGCGTCCAGGCAGGCTACCTTGAATCCCAAACTGCAAAACAGAAGTCTTGATAAGCGTAGAAAGTATATTCTTCAACACTCAGCAATCACAATGCAATCAAGTACACAACTCTCGTTTATTTATACATCATAGAAACGTCCTTCGGACAGTCACTAAAATACACAGCAGCCAATCACAGCCATGGATTTTCCTGATGGGAAATGAAATCTCAAGGTCAGCTGATCAGCCCATGCTCGCAAACGTGAAAACCAAGACAAGGCATTTATCAAGCGAGTTCTAGGGATCTAACATCCCCAACAGAATGTCACTTTCCGGAGCGTGACCACAGAGCGCAAGGGACATTTACTTGAGGCCTGTTAAACACGGCCTTTTCTTAGGGAGTTGTTTACGGTCGTAGATAAGATCTATAGTACGCTAAATCTTGCAAGTGGTGCGTAAGGTACTGATCATATCGAGATCCCAGACTGATATAACACTGGATGACGTGAGTTTGTATTTCACAGACGATATTGGTTCTCTCAAAGTACAAGATAAACTCTTTTGACAGTTAGCACGAAACTTAACGTTATAGCTTTTCGTTAATCAACTAACATAAATCTCAGCACCATTTATTCATTTATCCACTAGTAATCATTATATTATTTATAGACTAGAATAAGTTCGAGTTTTAATGAAAGCAACAACATTGGAATATATACATTTAGATTTTTCTGTCCTGAATAGAGTTAAACATGCTCGTCTCATTTCCATCTGTCGCTATTAATTGTTCAAAATGTGATATTTTTCCCAGAGTTTTTGTTAATTGTTTGTTTTCACCAAGTAATTCGTGAGTCTTCGTAATTGATTTTTTTCCTGTCTGATAAAATCTTCGACGTTAATTTTGTAATGAGCTATTACTAGTGAACTGTATACTCACTTTTAGATTCTAATCAAATAATTTGTAAAAAAGCGCAATCTTCTGCCTCACCAAAGTCTAGAACATCGATTGGTTTACTTAGATCATTAAGTCATAATTTGGATATACCGATTCCCAGTTCAACCGTGTTCCATGGATGGACTATCATTCTTACAGGTGGAGCTAAAAGTCAGTACACTTTTATTTTTGATTGTGCGCTTTAATGGTTGGCAAATTTTTATCACAATGACATTTTTATCTGAATTTTCATTTATTTGTAGAAGTAATCCTGTCACTGTATACTTTGATCTTTCCTTTTTTAAATAGACGTAAAAAGTCCCAAAACCTATATTCAGTTGTTCTATATCAACAGAGACTATGCTTGCTGATAAATTTACATGGTTAAACTGAGTTCAACTTCTATTTTTGAACAAACCCAAAACATCACTATTGCCACTAAAAGACAAAAACAATCGTTTTTTATTGGAACCATGAATCTTCATTGCAATTGTAGTCGAGTTTTTAATGTTAAGAAACCCAATTCATCAGACTAGTTAACTGTAACACTATCCGATATCAACTTAGCAGAAAAGAAAATGTTAACATTAGATACCACATCTGTACAAATGTCTTAGGGAAATAATCTACCCCTTGTGTTAAACAATAACTTTGATGTTGATGTTCCAAAACTATCTTTCTAGATAACATTGTACTTTAAGCACAATCTTCGCTATCTACAAAATCGGAATTCGGGCGATACCTTTAATATTTGAGACAAAAATATCAAACCCAACTACTTCCTACAGAAATTCACCAACCAGAATCAATGAGTTAAGTTCACAATAAAATCAGGGTCTGACTCAGAGTTCCACCTGTTAGTTATTCCATCTAACAGAAGACATCATTGTTCGTTACTAAGATGAACACAAGAAAAGCTCTCCTGGCCTGACCAATATATTTATTTCCACTCCCTTATATTTTTGGTATGAAATCACGGCCTTGAGAATAGAGAATATTTGTATCTTACTAGTGTTCGAAATATCGCTTGTGTATTTCGGGACCACTGAGTAAGTAATGCCTAGGTTAAAAATACGATACTATGTCAAGATGGTAAATCGATTGATGAGGTAGTTAATCTTTATCAATTGAGGTGCTTGTCATGTCCAACCACTGCCCGCCTCATCCTTCTCAATATTTGATTTTTAGGGACATCATCTTTATTTAACCTAATCGAATTGTACAGCTTAAGTAAATGAATTTCATTACTCTTCATTGACACAACGGTTTTTTTTCTGTTACTTGACTAATTCAAATTGTTTATAAAATCTAATGAGTAATTGATACTGTTGATCATATCAGTTGCTTCTCAGTTCCAATGCTTAGTTTTATCCGCAGAATATCATTTCTTGCGGTTATTTCTACAAAGTATTGTTTCCAACAGATTGCGTCTTGTCTATATCACTTGATGATAATTGCCTTTTAGATTAATTTCTAAGCAATAAGCTGTACTGTCTACTTCGCAATACATCATATGTACTTCGGTTGTTTATGCATCCATCAAATATTTTCAAGTGCAAAACTGGTCAGAAAATGTTGTAGATGATTGACTTCAAGTTGCCATGTCACATTAGCACAAAGAGATCGAACTGTCAATTCGAATCCCCTGGTGGTAGATGTAGTAGAAGTGTTAACAGTAACGGGGAAGATAAGGGATTGAAGATGTTATTCGGAAAGTATAATCCAATGAAACAAATTTCCAGCAGCGCTGTATATTTTATTTTGAGAATTTCTTACTGTTATTCGATCTTGTTGAATAAAATAACTATTATTGATGAACGATAAGTCGGAGACCACTGACTCTCATATGCACACAGAAATGAGTCATAGTCACTTTTGAGCAACATGTTGGTATAATTTTTCTTATCCATTTTTTTGTGATAAACTGGGAAATTTTATTTTGTAGACTACAATTCAAATCAATCCATTGATCGTAATCTTTTGGAACAATTGATTATTGCATGTGGTGGAGAAATTGCCTCGGAAATCAATCCATATTTACTAAATAGAAGATGTGGTTGGGAAAGTCCTGAATTAGATGATAATTTCCATCAAAAAAAAAGTCAGTCTGCAAATTTCGTAGCTTTAGTTTCAACAGACTGTTGTCGCACATTAAAATATTTTCAAGCACTCGCTACATTAGGCAGTGTCCCATTACTTCGTATTGACTGGTTGTTAGATTCATGCCGTGAAGAGGCTAAAACATACGGCACTGAAGCAACGTCTGAAGAAGCTCGTAATTGGCCATTATACTTGTTGCGTGCATATCCTGGTCGCTATGAATTACCTCGGGGATTTATATCTGGATCTTCTGAACCTATTAGTTGGTAAGCTAAATTTTATGAACTGATTTTTTGCAGTAATTCAATTTGTTGTGGTTTAGATTTTCCTGATGTTTATATTTAGACTGAAATTCGCCCTGTGGAAACCCTATGCGGACTGCATCGATATAGCCATTCTGACATAAATTTACATAGAACCATTAAAATGTGGCTAGCGAGGAATGGCTTTCTGGACTCAGTAGCTAAGTGGGTAATGCGATGGTATCAAAAGCAAATAGTACCGGGTTCGAGTTTCGGAATGAACATCAACTTTGAAACTCAGGTACATTCCACTACTGTGTCCCAAATATGACGAAACGCGCTTCCTGGATTTCACTGCTAGCCACATTCTGTTCTATGTAGATATACAGTAAATTCAGTACTGTGACTGCAATGTTTGTAATAACATTTTACTAATCCATCTACGTTAGACAGTTTTCTGCCACTTTCAATTTACCCAAAACAACTGCAACTTAACTTTACGTATATTAATTAGTGGGATTTCTGCATTGCTATACAATGTCTTGTACTGCATCTTAATTGCCTGTCTCTTAAAAACTACGTAAAAGCGTCTGTTTTTAGGGTTCAATAGATGATGAGCCTTTTTTAGTTTTCATGTTGAAGTACATGCAAAATTATTTACAACCATAAACCGTTTCTCCTAAAAAATAACACCTTAATTATTAGAACACAATATATAGTGTCAAACTGGTATTTCCGATTTGTTAATCTAGTTATCATTCTTTCAATCAGTATGCAATAAATATTTACCTTACTTTATTTATACTCCAGTTTTGTCAAATATATTGCAATATTATTTCTTTGTTTGGTACATAAACCTTTCACTAGTTTCTGAACTAGACTTTTAAATCTCTGTTTTATGCACCGAATCGAGCTTTATCCGATGAATAAAATTTATATTTGAGTAAAAGACTACATCTTTCCAACTCGGTTGCAAATGATTTATTTATTTTTAATCAAGAGAACAACTTTTTTGTTTTTCTTATAATTTCCATTATATTTCTACATACACTTCAGGTGGTCTGTGCCTGTACGATATCGTTCACCAGCTTATCAAACGGTTCCTGCTCCATCATTGTTTAACTTACTTGGAGATTGGGCGGATGATGGAACTAGTTTTCGTTTGGTAGCTATAGTTACTAACGATCTTAAGGTGTTTGGACCTGGTTGGTTGAATATTTTATCTTTAGCTTGTGGGTCTAATAACGAAACAGATGAGTTGGGCAATTCATCAAATCGAATTCCTTTAATACATTTATCTGAAATATCTCAAAAACTATCTGATTTGTTTCCATCTGTAAGATGCAGATCTAAAGCAACCGAAAAGAAAGTAAATCTTGTGCTGGTGGACAAAAGTCACGTGAGTTCAGAAAATTAATTTATTTGGTAAAATGTTTTCACCGTTCTCCTCCTCACTTTCCGTTTGATTTCATTCAATAAGACTGATAAAATATATGGCTACTCGAATGCTTTACTTGGTATTTTTTAGAAATCACGATGTAATCCATTCATCAAACAACAGTTTTTGTATTCTTCTTATATCCATACTTCACTTGAAAATAAGTGATACTATCCAGCTAATGAAAGTGAAGTTAGTGGATGGGGTCCGCATCTTAGGCCTATAGTAGTTAAAAGTTAAGCGCTTTTAACACAAGGTAGAATTAACTTTCTACAAATGACTATCTGGGTGATTTGCTTGGATATCTGGGCTACTTGGTTCCTAACACCAAAATATTTCAACAACTTACCTTTTGTTTCTATTAACACGTCACTTACGTATATTAATCACATGATCTACTCAGGCGCTTTACGAGCTATCGTAGCACAATCCGAGACATCACGGCTAGCAATCTTCTGAGAAATGAATGAACATTAATAAATTGTTGATTCCGGAACTGCTTACTTCCAATTGCCAGTCACTAAGTGTTTTGTGAAGGAAACTTGTTGAAATATTCCCTGCTGAAAATCCCGAATTGTAACAAACATATAGTTTTGAATGAAGATCATTATTACTATTATTATTGTCTTTTGGAATATCATTCTGCCTTCCGAAATATTGGCACCTAGACTTATGGAAGTTTTTACTAGCTATCTTTAGTTGACTTGTTACATTCACGGAATCAACATAATATTGGAGTAATTCTTTCTGAAAAATTTGATTATCATCAAGCATAGACATTTTTTCGTACAACCAACCGTTGTTTTGTCTTTCTCCGAACCAAATAAATGCATAAGTCTGGATGTTGTTCTACCTTCTCGTAAATTAAAGACAGACAAGACTTTGTTTATTCTGACTTCAAAACGTTTATCTCCTATTTATCACATATTCTTCATAGAAAAATTTTTTCTCCTTTCAGATCAACCAGTCTGCGTTCGCGTTTATGAAAACATTACCTATTGAAATGGTTACTTGCGACTACTTTATTCATTCACTTATCTGTGGACATTTAGTTGACCCAAAGTCTTCTCCATATTTTTCGCCAATAGTATAAGCATCCAGCTAAATTATAATACACATACTTATTAAATTTCATACACCTTCTCTTGTATTCCTTCTTTTCTCTTGTCCAAGGGCGGTTGCTAATCATTTCGTTAAGATCGATTTCATTAACGTTGTAGTCAGATATTATTAATGATGCTCAAATTTTATTAAATTATTCAACTTTTGATCACTGTACTTTTATTATTTACATTTTTTACGTAATTTAATTGTATGAGGATATTGGTAGCCGTTAAGAATTCTTATTCAAAAGACTTCTTCAAATTTTTTTTATGAGAAAAGCGATTTTAACTACATAAATCTAAACTCATATGTCTATTCACGACAGGTCACATAAATCGGGACGAATAAACAATGTACACACCCATAAACCCACTTTTTTAATAAAAACAATTCTATAAATTTTGTTCCCTCTCTATTTAATTTTATCAAAATAAATTCAATGTTTTAGGCAATTCATTGCAATCTTAATATCTGATTTATTAAATCAAAAATTTACTATACTACAAAATTGCTAAAGGTTTTATAAAACATATTTCATTATTATTTTATATCTTAGCATTGTTTTGTAATCCTTTGACTATGATGATAATCTCCTGTGCATTTTTATTTAAGTCATTTATAATGTTTGTTTGTTTGATTGTTACAGAAAGAAAAGTAAATTGTTTTAAATGTGTAGATATCTCTTTCTCACTTACTTTCCAATCTAGGGGGGGGGGTGGGTTCACTAGTTAGTTACCTTTAATTACATTAATGCTTTCATACATGATACAGTTTTCCTGAAGTAAAGACGTTAAATAACAAAGTGATAGAGTATGCCACTCAAACATATCAGATCAATCTCAACTGGTAAGTTAGGGAGTCTGAAGTGTACATGCTATTGGTTAAGATTCGGCAAAATAGTGTGAGAACGAGACATACGTTATAGGTTGAAAATCTGGGTTGTTTTACTGAAACATGTCTATATTACTGATTGGGTCTCCATGTATTTTGATCCGTGTCAGGAAATAAAGGTTTCCTATTCATTCATGGTTTTTCTCACTCAATTAGAGTACAGGAAGCGTGAATGTCAGCATCAGATTTAGCGACTGCCGAACCTGAATTCACTTTATTTTAAAGTCCTAATTTTGACTTTAAATAGTTAGAAGCCTGCATATAAATAGTCATTGTAGAATACCATTAATTTTCGTCGATCATTTGACTGGGATTATTACTTAAAGCTAGTGCTTCCTGCTCACTGATTAATCCATCTCGAAAGTCATCCGAATTGTTTGTTATTTTCACGCCTGTCAATAAATGGGAAATACTGGCTCATTAATAAAGGTCAGGGGATGTTGGCCCAACAATCACCTTTGATACGGGATGTTGGCTGATAAAATTTCAGCCTGTCGAAACTAATGATGTTACATCGCTTCATTAGTCATATTCTTACTTGATCGCTTTGCGAAGCAATTACACTAGATGAAAAGTTATTGTATTACTCTGGATTGAGTGTATGAATTCAAATAACTACGGTTGCAACGAAAAACAGGTTTCTAGTTTCTTGACGGCTTTTTTATATTTATCCTCTATCTGAAGGTATTTGCTGCTGAAAAAAATCAATTTAACATCCTTTTAAATCCTAAAATTCATTTTATATTTAAAAAATACTTATTAAGCTTTCGGGGTGTTTTTTATTAAATATTATGATTTCATTAAATATTCCCATCACTTGTTTCGATTCCTGATGTTAACTGTTGGTTTATGGTTTGTTTTAACTCATTATTTTCGCTTTCTAACATCTCTACCTTTTGTTTTAATTCTGCTATTTCTACTTTCATTGCTTCGACATCTGAAGGATCTGGGTTTTCCGCTTGTAAGTGCTTCTTCATAAATCTATAAAGCGAAGAAATAGGAGACTCATTTTAATAATACGAATATATTTTGTAAGTATTAGATAGTCAGTTGGAGGCAACCAGTAATGTTATATCTGATACTGTGGAGTGATTAACTGGTTTTTGCTTTGCACTGAAGCTCCAAATCCAATAGCGCGTTGTGGAAACTAAAGACTGGTAATAAAGATTCATTTCGCTCCCAAAGTAAAGCAATACATGAATCCACCACTTTTCATATAAGCTATTTATAATAAGATATGTATAGTTCAAACTAAGCGGTATTCAACATCAATCAACGAATAACCTACCATGCGAACACATTGACAATATCATGCAATTAAACATCTCTTCTCAAGATATGATTGCATATCGATTTATCCGAAAAAACCATTTCATATGTTATTTGCGCTGCAATGGATTATTTCATTCCTCGCTGTATCACCTCCCTCACAGAATGATGTGAGATCCTTCTTTGTTGTTATTAATTAAACAGTGGTACTATTGACTTAACCAGTATATGCTCCTGTGTACATGATAACCATTCTTCTGTTGCGTCTAAAGACTTCGACTCCACTGTCGACATATTCAATGTTTCTCTTTCCTCCTATTGCTGACTAGGCACACATTTGTAATATCACTTCCTCAAGCAGCCATACGCTATGCATTTATCTGAATACTGGCGAACTGAGTAAAACAAGGTCCTCAACTTGAAGTCGAGGAATTCTCCAGTTCAGTCTAAAGGAATACTGATGTAAAGACTTATCACATAAGCACTGTGTTATCACTGTCTACTCCCAGCTCAGCCACATGAACCAAGATATAAATCTATCGTGTCTCCTTTTTTGAACTTCACTTGAAATAGTTTCTTCAGATTTATTCGCGATATCGTTAGAATTGAATAAATCATTAGAACAGTCAACTTCCGATGAAATAACTGCAGGAGTATAATCACGATTATGTTCGAAACATTTGTTTCATCATTATTTTGAACTTCACTTAATGTAAATGGACAATTAGGATGAATGAAATCTGACGTCAGGAAATCTGGACATGACACAGTGTTTACTTTATTACGGATATAGTTGATCACTTTCTATTTCTTAAAACTATACTTCAACAGTGATTATGTCAGTTACGTTTATGATTTTTGGGTGAGATTCCGGATTCGATTGCTTGATCGTTTATCGTCCCTTCAGTGCACCGATGAGCTGTAACTGATATTTAGTGAACACATTTTCATTAAACTGCAGAATCGATTTTACTCCTGCGCCTTGATTGCAACTGTAACTTGAAAAATAGTAGTTTGGTTATAACTGAAAAAAGGATTTTGGGGTAAACTGAACAGAAAACTGACTTACAACTGGAACTAGAAGGTTGTAATGAAAAAGATGTATCTGAAAATTGTCTCCGTCACCATCGTTACCTCCGCAAATCCTCGGCAGATAAGTAGGATCCGTTTGACCAAAATTCAATGCTTGTAGACAATTTCCAACAAAACGAGTCATTAAAAACGTGTTGCTCCATACGATATCCCAACCCATTCAAAAATGTTACTAACCAGATATTAAGGTTGCAGTGGACACCTCGTCATTATGCTCACTGTAATCCGAGTTATGTAACTTTATTTATATCACTCTAGTTGCAGTGCAGGCCATAATACTGGATGACCAAATCACGTTTCATTTTTTTATCGAAAAGATACAACCAAGCGATGAGATAATGACGCTATTGTGTGTCGAAAAAAAAGATTTTATTGACAGTGGAATAGTTGAGGTATCGATCGGCTTTCAAACGAAGGATTGAGTGGTTGTTTTTGTAATTCAGCTCTAAATTTTATATTTTATTATGCGTGTATATGCTTTAAATAACTTCTTTCATCTTTATAAACGTTTCTTAACAGATTTTCACTTAAAGAGTGAACTGCTGTATTTTTGATGTCAATAAACTAGCCTGCGTACGTACATATGACAGTATGATCCATTCTCCTGGTCAGAATCGTTGTCAGGAAATCATCTTTTACCTAACAGGTGTTCTTCTAATCCATTGATGTTATAACATCAGTTCTTTCATAAGAAATTCAGATTTCGACACATCGCAGCATAAAAATCAATACAACGAGATGAAAAACTGTCGGTATATATATTGAAGAGTAGTACCGAAGTTTAATTTAAGGCTATGTTAACATTTTGAGTTTGAGTTTCTGCGGCTATTTTTATTAACTGTCCAAAACTAACTTCGTTCTCGATCTTAATTTTAGAGTAGCTATCAAGTATTGTGGTCAGTTATTACAGGAATTCGAAACATTCAATTTCCCCTCTCTTCCTTATCAACAAGTCAAAGGGATAACTTTCAGACTTTTATTTCAGTAAATTTGTATTATGTCATGAAGGTAGGTTATCTGGTTACAGGAATTGATCTATATGACTTATTTGTTATTATTCTAAACGTTTTTTAGAAGGTCCGTTAATTTTAAATGCTATTAACATTCAGAAATGCTCCCTGATATTTCGATCAATATTTAGATTGTTAATGGATTTCACCCTAAGGATTGAGTGTCAACAGTAATGATTAGAAACCAAGTACTCCAAATACCAAACCACCCTGCCAGTAATCGTCTATTATTATGGGATATCTATTATGTGTCGCAGCATCATGACTCCTACAGATTTAATTTACATAACACCTTAATTCCCTATTGTCAAACACTACAACCCTTGATGATAAATTAAACCGGTGTTCCACATTTAACCCACTCTTTAAATCACTCAAAATTCGTCTCACTGTGTATCTGTTAAATTTCACAGTCCATAAACACCTGATCCTAATAATCCGAGATTTGAATTCATGCTAATCGACGGATAAGCATTCAAGCTAGAATTACACACTTAATGGAACATCTATCCCGATATATATTTGATCCAGTCATCATGAATAGACGGCACAGTTATAGAATGAGAATATTAATAGTAACACCAGTATGGTACCAAATAGCTCACCATGGTATGGATAATTGGTAGCTCGGAACAATCTTATGAGACCACTAACCGTAGAACTCATAGTTTATGCAGACAATCGATCAAGACATCTAATTAGCGAAATACATTAAACTTATTCGGTACCTATTAAGGAAATTAAGCAAATCTTTTCTGAAATACGATAGCAACCACAGTGGGGGTATACTATTAGGTTCACAACAGTTATCGAAATCGTTTCATACTCCTCTAAGTAATTTTTGTTTAGTAGTTTTAGACCAGTTTATTTCCCATCCATTAGTAATGTTTTAGTTCATTTCATTGATCTGTCCAGTTTTTATTTCGGCCTAATTCATTGTGGTTTTCAGAAATACATTGGTGAAGCCCTATACTGTTCTGCAATGCACTTGATATGTCATCTTAAGCTATTTTTTTAAAGTGATATTTCCAATATATGACTGCCAAATGAATATCACTGATGCTTTCTTTGCCTGCTTCTTGGAACTAAAGACCCACTGTACGTTTTGTGTTTTCAAAGGTTTGATAAATGTCTTCAACAATATTTAGGTTTTCTCAGTTAACCATATGAAAATAAATTAATTAATGAAGTAGCATACAGCACACATAACTGTATGACATAAAAACTCTCCCAAAACTTCGGACGTTTACACAACAGCACTAGTTGGCTACACATTGCATTTCATGTGCATATATATTTCATGTATATTTAATAGGGTAAATTCAAGTGCCACTTTTCTGTTATGTCTAATCTTTCACTAAAATTATGAACTGATTGCGCGGATCGATTCATCTTAGCCATCAACATGATGGCTCAGTGGTCAAGAGGTTAATTTTTTTATGAGAGACTAAAGATCATAGGTCTGATTTTGGTGATGGGAATCGTGGATGAGCACTAATGATTAGTCCCATACCATGATGGAGCGACCGTTCAGTGCCTCTATGTTTCTAGTAATGGCCTAACATTGGTAAATTAATGATTTTAATTAAGTTCAACTATCTATAAAAACCTATACTTACAAAAATCTAATTTTTTGTGGACCTCTTTGAGGTTTTACTTTTTCTCAACTTCATAACCTATACACTTACGTGGAATCCGATATCACGAGTTAACCAATAGTCAACTGCAAATAGTTGTCTGTCAAATATTCTGTTCACTCTTAAACATCCTGACCATTTGAAATTTATTGACAAATAATACGTTTATGAGCTTTGTTAGAAACTACAGTTCTGTATTACGACACCAAGATGCAAGGATAACTGATTTACCAATTCGATCTGCTGATTTGGTAAATTCTGAAAACTAGTTTGAATAGGTTACTTTGGAAGAGAGCCTAAGACCTAGAGTCAATCTTTTTCTCATAAACTGTAATTTTTAAGTAAATCAAACTATTAACTAAATTAGTCAAAAGCTACAAATGAGACAATTTATTGATACTGGTGAGAAAGCAGTATTCTTTTACTATCTGTCTCCTCCCTTGTGCTGGTACAATAGTCTCTTGCAGTTGGGATAGTTTTCAGTGATTCCGCAGTTACAACAAACAGGCATTTTAGTAGCAAGTGTCAGCTGTTATTTCAACTCTGACAAGTTAGTCGTATATCAAGTTATTATAGTACTACACATTATTTTGATTTCTGCCTCTAGTTCTCAGTTCATTGTGTTCTTTGAACTTGCTCTTTACTATTTACCTTGAGGATTTCAGGTTGACTTTTTTGTGATATAGTTTGTTGCTTTCCACAAAGTGTGACCTATCCCCTCTCACTGTCTTTTCTTAATTTCTTTCTTAGCTGGAGGCTGGTTTGTTCCGTGCCACAATAAGTTATTGCTGATGGCCAATGCATCCGAAATATCTTTCATAAAAACCTATTTATAAATATCTGTACTCTTTTGATGGTGGTTGGAGTAGTCCTCCAAGTTTCAGCTCCGTTCAATGGGACGGTCCTAATATCTGTATTTGAAATTCTGACTTTGATGTTGTCTGAGTTGTTTTGAGATCCAGCTTTTCATTGGTTGTACGAGTGCTGCCTTCGCTTTATTGTTCCATGCCTTCATATTCGTATCAAGTCCCTCTTGCTCATGAATGTTAGTGCCCATATGAGTAGAATCACTCACCTCTTTCAGAGCTCCTCTGCCAAGTGTTTTTTGTCAGGGCTGACTGGGATGTATCCGATGATATTGTTTTTCACTTGTGAATTTTGAGACTTACTAGTGCACAGACTGCATCTACACTCAGTTTTCGCCCTTATTTGCTGCTGTGTATGGGATATCAGAGTTAGGCTATCTGCGAAGTCCAAATTATCTAGCTGAACCCGAGGTGACCACTGCATTCCATGCTTCTCTATAATATAGTTAACGACAAGAGGGAAGAGAAGAAATGTGAGTAGGCAGCCTTGTCTGACACCAGTCTTGAAATGGAATTAATCTGCGAGTTGTCCCCCATGCACGATTTTTGAGTGTAGTGCATCGTAAGAATTCCGTAAGATGTTAGCTATCCTCTCACGTACACTATAATGTTGAAGAAAATTTCACAATGTTCTCATGTCCACTCTGTCGAATGCTTTCCCATAATGAGGAAGTTGATGTACAGTGATGAATCCCATTCAATTGATTGAGCAGCAGTGAACCATAGCAACGTGATGTAGTCAGTATACGATCTATAACTTAAGAATACAGCCTGTTTATTTTTAGGTTGGCGTCTACTGAGACTTTTGGTTTAACAACACTGAAGAGTTTTCCTTGTATTGATCATAATGCTACACCTCTATAGTTCTCACATTTGCTACTATGGTTTTATTTCTTATCTTGGTGAAGTATCATCGTCTTAAGTAGTACTTGTCTTTCCTCCTTAATTTTCCGACGTGAAGATGTAGAATCCTTTCGTGATAACACTGGCAAAATAGTCATTCTTTTGACCCATTGGTTACATGCCCCAGTTTTCATGAAAACTGTGCGTCCTCAAACTAAATATTTTTCCCGTGAAGTGGTTTGTAAATTTGTAACAGAATCGACGACAAAATCTTGGACTCAAAGTCCTGAAACTAAAGCCGAAAAGCTTTGTGAAGATTCCGAGTTTGACAATATGGTTAAATTTATCTCGAAGTGACTTCTGTAGTTTCTGTTTACTGTTGAGTCGCCGGTTGCTACCAGATTATCGCATGCACCGCAATTTTCGCTTTCGCAGGAACATCATTAAAACCTCGGTTGAGGACCAGTTTGTGTGAGCAGATACATGGTCATGATTGTCACGGGGTAAGCTCCGACCCACAATAATTTCATCAAGGCCTGAGAATACTCGTTGCATGATGCAGTAGTATCTCCATTAGAAGAAAAAATTCATTTAAAATTCTTTCATGACATTCAGCAGGATAATGAACGCCTCTTTTTCATGTCCTCGTTTCTCCCAGCCCTACTAAAATTTGGTACTACTAAATTTATTAGGTGATAAACTTATAGAATACTCCTGAAAACAAGCAACATTTTACCATTTTAAAAATGAGGTAACAAAAAAGGATTGGACATAATGATTTTTGAGCCGTCAACATGAAAATAAAAATGGGTTTTGGCTTACTCTAGGGCATTATCAGGTTTTTCCGGTTCTTCATACAAACCAACTAGGACTGTACAAAGCAAATCATGAATTCAAACATATTTACCTTTCGTGAGTGCATCAATCACTCCAGATTTCTCCAAATACTTTCTAAATTCCTCGCGTTTACAATTTCCAGGCTGGATATAGAACTCATCAGTATTGTATCAATTACCTTGTAAGTAGACATTGTAGTTTTAAAGCAGTTGCGCTACACCAACATGACAACGACATAGATGTGGAAGCGTTAAAACAGTACGGACTGTAAGTGAAAATAGTAATCATTGTTGTCATAATTATTACTAGAGTGTGTTATTTGTGATTCAAATTACTCGCGAAAACGTTGGTTTCAGTTTTTTGCTTCATTCCTAAGGGCCACTGAAATGTCTTTAAACACAGTCAGATCACCCGTCATGCATCTCACTGAATGTTGAACAATTTACAGACTCTGATCACTGTTAGAAGCGGTCAACGTACGTCAACTGATTGCACACAATGGACTTGTTCATGCGGCAACATTTATGCATCTCTCTACAACCATGTGTTCAGATTTGTCTGTTGAGGACAGAAATTTTATGCTCATGTTGGTCCTTTCCTAGTGATACCCTGACAGTGCCTCGCCTTTTACTGAAAGAGTCAATGGAATGTGCTGTCGCCGCGACTCACAGACGGCTGTCAACCTGAATGCAATTTTCATGTCTAGATCTCACTAAATATGTGTTCAACCTTGTGAACGCACGAGTATCAAACTTTAATAATGTCTGTCTTTAAGTCCATGAGGTTTTGAATACTTTAGCTTCCACCTCACGGTAGAGAGCCATGTTAATATTATCGTGTCATACTAATATACAAAGGTTAATATGAGAGTGAACTACAGGAATGGTCTCTTCCTCATTATTGTTTCTATTTCTCTTTGTATGCTAAATGTGAATGTGAGCAGACTTGGTATCGTTGATATGCATCAGAATAACGAACCATAACGTCTATATCGGCTTTAAGTGTGTCTTGTGTACATCCCTCGTCATTTCTTGAAAGACGCTTTTACGTCACTAGCTTAGATTAGCATCGATGGCTTGAGGATACTCGGGATTTCATTTACGTGAAGTATCATGCAGCAAATGACCTAGAACTGATGTTTGAGGTACTTCATTAAGTACTTGCTTGTTTGAAATTTCGATTATTTTTATCTCTGGCCTACGAAAAAATCTTTGACCCATGTAAGCTAATGTCAGGCGCTTGCTAGATTTTCCAGATTTAAGAAGAATTTATTGCCTAGCATTTCACGAAAGTCCACGCAAACAAAATCTGCTGATCTTACACTATCAATGGACTCTCTCCACTCCTCTGTTGCTATGGGCAGGACAGTCCTTTTGTAAAGCCATTTTGTCTCCTCGATTGGAGATTATTTCTTTCCACTGTCTTTACGGCCCTATCGATCATTCTTTCTAGTATTTTACTTTAGGCAACAACAGGGCAAACACGGCCTACAGCTTGGTGAATATTGTCTTAATTCTTTTTTACGGTTGGAGCAACAATCACAACCTCTAAGTCTGTCGGTAACTCAAAATTGTAGGTGACACACAAAAAATCATTGTAAGTGGGTCACTGATGTTTCGTGCATTTTGTCGAATGATTTTGACTATTGTTCATCCGGTTTTGTAGATTTCTCCGTGTCTGAAGTGTTTACGGATTGTATTGCGCCATTTCATCAGTTCACAGTGAGTAAACGATTTGTTTGTTTTGCTTTCGGATCGAGTAGTGAATCTAACAGTGGTCTCGCTATCGTTTCTGTTTTATCCTAGTATTTCTTCCTCATTTAATATGTACTTTATTCTACAATTATCAAAACTATTCGCATTATACTTAAAGGCAGGAACATACATTGAAACGTCGAAGGTAAAATTTGTTGCCCTAAATTCAATTCAGGGCAGAACCACCTAATCCAAAACGACTGTTATTCTACAAATACATCACAGCTATTATATTTAAGCTGAAATTTCAGGAACAAGAGTAAAGTTTGTGAAAAACATTGATATTTATATTGATCAGTGTTTAAGTTTTTGTCCATTGATTGCCGACCTTTAAGTCATGCTGTAAGCACCTGAGTAAGCATGCTGCATTTGCTTGGAAAAATAGCGATTCCATGATTTTGATGGCAACAAAATTCTCAGAAGTAACCAACGTATAAGGGTAAATCGGTATCATGTTTTAGTCGCCTCGTCAATCAAAAAGAACCGGAAGCAAACAAAATGTTGCTGTGAGAGATGTCTCTGGTTTATTCTGATACTTAGGACTTCTCGGATTTATGTTTAGAGGTTTAATACCGTCTTGAGTGAAAGTAGTGGTCTGGCGTTGATGAATACCATATGCGTTGGCATTGAGCGCATGCTTATTGTGTCTAGCATATTCTTTAGATAACATTCTTTCTTGCCGAGTAGCTAGTTTTTTATCATTATATCGGGGGCAATATTGCGTATGATAGAGGCGCAAAGGACTAGTGATTCAGTAGTTAGACGTTTGGAGGATGAATATTTGCAACACCTTTAATTACAGAACTGATCTCTGGAATAGAAGTCTCACTGTAATTATCTTTGGCTTCGAGATTGGATAGATTGCTCGTAGCTTACGGAGAAATTTTCAAAACCTATGGGGAGCCTTGGTATATTTGTTTTTCAGATAGTTATATGGACGTGCACTGATTATCTGCAGTTAACAACAAACCGGGGCAGAATTTAGGCATAAGAGGTGACGCTACATTGCCACCTGTATAAGACTTGAAATGTAGCGAAAGTTAACCCTCCCTCCACCAGGAGTTAGTCTTTATTGGAGACAGGCTGCAGAAGAAGATGTGCAGAAGTGTAAGTGACCTTCGGTAAGAATGATGGAATACGAGGCACCAGGACTGCTGAATACTAGTTCGGACAAAGTTGACAGACATAATGTACGACAGTGGCATCAATACGACATGTAACAAATATCTTCCGTTCTCATCAGATGTGAGAGCCAAGTGGAAGCAATTAAGCAATGGCATGAATTCCAGATAATAATAATGATATATATTTTTTCTCAAATAACTAAGTTACAAGAGTCACGCCAGTTTACAGGTTAGATCAAATTGTCACAAACGCTTTCACAATTACTGTAAAGTTATAGCAGTTAAATTAAGTGTAAGAGTCAGTTTCTGATTGCATATTTTCACCATGTCACTGACAGAAACAGTATGATACAGCCACATTTTCAATAGCAGAGTACAAATAATTAAGGTGCACAATAGGTTCTTTTGGCGATTTGTCGAGATCAATAGTGAATTTGTTGGGAAAGGTCATATGGAACGCGCTTGATACGAGCTGTGATCCAGACAGTCATGTAGGTAGGGTGTATGTTCCCTAGAGTCGCCAAGGATTTCCCACCGTGAATGGGGTTCTGAAAAGGAGAAGAGAGAGAGAAAAAGGCAGCAGTGTGGCAAGTGTATATATATAACCAAAGCACGACTTAACCTGTCATGTTGAAGTAGTCAATGCAGTAGTAAGTCAAGACAAAATTCATAATGACCACTTAAAATAAATTAAATTATGGGAATATAAGAATATAACACACAGATAAAGGAGTACAGCAAAGAAGAAGGAAGAGTTGTGCAGTGTCAGGTGGATAGAAGAGAAGTCGAAGTAAGAAGCTGGATTTATGTACGTTGAAATCGAAATTCTAGTTGAAAGAGTATAGTTTGTAAAAAGAAAACTTTCGTGAATGAAATTTCGCACTGTCTAACTGTTTATTATTATTATTATTATTGAATGCCAACCTCTAAGTCATACTGTAAGCGTATGAGTAATAATGTTGCGGGTGTCTCGACCGAATAGCGACCTCAGCATAGTTTTGGAAACATGAACCACAGAAGTAGCAAGCGTATAAGAGAAACCTCAGTGTTACTGATAAGTCGTCCCATCAGTCTACGACACCGCACACAGAGGACACAATTTCTTCAAAAAAACACATAAAAAGAGCAAAAAGCTCTCAGCAGTCAGTTCGTACTGAACTCGATAACCTATTTAAATAAAATGGTTTAGAAACCCAAGTACAGATTCTACTAAAGGGGAGAACCAGGTGATGAGACCACGGATTATATACCTCCACAGCAATTTTGGACGACTAGAGGCAAACATAACAAATGCTAGTAACACAGGCCCTCACTAACTCGCTAAACGACTCTAACCAGAATAGATAATTCAAACTATTTAACCTTTGCCTTGGAAGTGAGGAGGTCTTCTTTCAGACTACTTACGGTATCCAATGAAGAAAGCCGAGTTCCTTTGGAAGTTACGAGGCCTATGCACTTCGAGATACTGGAAAACTCGACGAATTTAAGATAGCCCTCATCCATAGGTTCCATGGTTTTCGTGATCTACTTAATGAAAAGGAAACAACCATGGAGAACAATTGGAAAGGGATCAAAGATGCAAGCGCTTCAAATTTCAGGAGGTTCTAGGCCACAGAAAGTACCATCACAAGAAACGGATTTCTGTTGGTACTCCTGAAAATACTGAAGAAAGGACGAACAAGAACGCAGCAATCAATGTCAGCCGAAAATGAGCAGAGCAGGTTTAGGTACAAGCTGAATACACGGAAACATACAGGAAAGTGAGGAATAGCACTAGAGACGACATGAAGAATCACTGAACAACTGTATGGTCACAAAAGTTTAATACAGCCTTTATTCGGGATACTGGAAAACTCCATGAATTTATGTCACGAGATTGTGGGCCACAAGTAGTACCATCACAAAAATGGTATTCTGGATGAGATTCGAAAGAGGAACAAGTAGGCAACATCTGCCGAACAAGAGCAGAGAAGGCTGAGGCACATGCTGAATACGCAGAAGCAAACAAGGAAGTGAAATGGAGTTTTAGAACCGATAAATGCAAAGATGCGGAAGATCCAGCAATGACTCGGAAAAGGCTACAAGAGAAGGAAACGTGAGACAATCCAGACACCTTGGAAATACGATCTCAGAAGCATCACTCTTTTCTCATTACCAGGTAAAGCCTTCGACAGAGTGTTGTTAAACGGGAACGAAGACTCCGTAGACGCCCAGCTTCGAGGTCAACAGGCTGAACTTCGCAAGAATTCATCGTGTACTGACCAAATCGCAACACTACGGATCATCGCAGAACAATCAGTTGAATTGAACTCACCATTCTATGTCAACTGCATTGATTACGAGAAAGCATTTGATGGTGTGGACAGGACAACACTATGGAGGCCTCTTCGTCACTATGGAGTTCTGAGAAGATAGTCAACATTGTACGGAATTCCTATGATGGATTAATCTGCGGAAACGTGCACAGAGGACAGCTGACAGAGTTGAAGACGTGGTCAAGGTCACTTACTTAAGGATAGTACAAACCAGAATCCAGTGAAGAAAGAAGTCTGGAAGAAGCGCTGGAAGTAGGTAGGACACACATTGCAGAAAGCGCCGAACGGCGTCACAAGACAAGCCCTCTCTTGGAATCCTCAAGTTCAAAAGAGAAGAATAAGGACACGAAAACGATAGGCGGGGAATTACAGACAGACAAAAATTGGACAGAACAGGTACGGGAAACTCAGGACAGAGAAGGTTGGAGATTACTGGTCGGTGGCCTATGCTTCATCGAGGGTAAGAAGCTCGAGTGAATAAGATGACTTCTTGAGCTAGAGCCCTAACAGTACATTGGTAAAATACTCCAAAAGCATCAGGTCACTGTTGATTCATGTTAATTATTATTTCTGATAATTTAGCCCTTTTGAATTTCCTCTATTCATAAGATTATTTGCCGGTTCGTTATATCACCGTTGACTTGTCTTCATCAACCCACATAAGTACAGGTGTACAGTCAGCGTTGTAATACATAAAGAGAAAGCTCTGAGTAATCATAACTTTGTTTTGTCAAAAAGAGTATCTGTTGAGTCATGACCCAGCTTCAAAAAGGAATACTATCTGTTCTGATCGTTACATTTTTCTCTTTATTTCCCTTGATCAGCAGCCCATCATATTCCGTAAATATTAGCCTGAATAACTGCCGAAAACTAGTAGCCAGACGATTCTCAACGAGTAGATCTGTGCACGTTCACCTCATCAACTCTTGTTATTTGCAGATCTGGATATACTTTGTTTTGGTTCTCAACAAGCAGTTGTTAGTCGCAATGCAAACACCGTAACGTTCTCCAACTATTGTGTCGCACATTCCAAAGCTGACGCAAATACAATTTTATATAAAATATCAGCCCTCCATAAAAAGGCAGTGTATCTTGCGAAATATTTGCCTTACTGAATAACTTTTACAGTAAATATGTTAACATTAATGTTTCGATCTCGCCTATAAGTTGGCATACCTTTTGCAACATAATGTTATTTGAGAACAAATTATTAATAATACTGTTATTAAGAAGCCCTTGAAGTGGACAAGATACACTCTGATGAAAGAACCTATCTGCGTCACAAGGCCAGCCCTCACCTAGAATCCTCATGCTCAAAGGAAATTAGGAAGGCTAAGAAACACATCACGCTGGGAAGTGGCGACAGATGTGAGTAGAATGAACAACAATTGAACATAACTAGGAGGAAGCGTTCATGGCAGAGTATGCTGGAGAATGCTGGTGAGCGTCCTATAGTCCGTTTGATAGTAACAGGAGTTAGGAAGTAAGCTCTCACTGATATCTTAAGATCATAACCCTGACTGAAATATGTCTGTCTCCCGAAAACACAGACGACGAGGTGGGCTTGCAAGGCATGACGATATGCCCATGTAATCGGGTACACATACCTGCAAGAATAGTGGTAACATATATTGCTAGCCGCTTCAAAGCCGTAACGCCACACCATAAAGAATAGTCCAAGTTGATGGAATCATATCAGTGTTATTTCTATGCAAATGACACAAGACACCTGGTCTGAAAAATTATCGATTACCCAGAGGTGCCAAAATCTAGACAGACAAGATAATCAAGATAACGTTGCAACCTTTGCGCCTGGAGTTTGATCAAATACCATTACTTAGGGACTTGAACACTCTGTCCCCAAACCTCAGAAAATTAGGTTCAACTCCAACAGTAAGGTTGTGTAACCGGCTGACAGCAGCTTTCAGAAGCTTAAGACCGATTGAATGTGTGGAAGAAACCAAAATATAAACCAATATATATGCACTCACGCAAACCACTGGTAACACAAGTCCATAAATAAATGCCATCAGATTAGTGTAAGTGCTGTAGAGTAGCTAGACAACCATCCATCGAGCACTATCGAATACCTGAAACCGTACTGACAGAACAAGAATCCAGCGCATAGAAATCAATCAGCTTATGCTGACTCGTGTTAAAGATATTGTATATTGAGTCTTCATGGTTTTGTTATACTATATTGTATTAGGAAAGCCGTAGGTTGTGTGTGTAGTTTAAATGTAAGAGGAAAATAGGGCATATTAAACTTCATCTATTAACTACATGATTGTGTTATTTCTGATTGTTCTTGGCTGCTTTCCTTATTAAAAGTAAGTGCATTCTATGGGCTTACCGATTCGTCGTCCCACTTATTCTCGTCCTTTCTTCTATACAACCTCATACTCCCCTGAACACAAAGAACTTTCAGGCTAAATGCAAACTTTCTGGAAGCTGCAAATAGAGAGTGTTTAACTGTTTCGAATCTCCTCGCTACTACACTCTTGGTTCGCTTTCTACAATCTCTGAGCCTAAAACATGTCAGGTTTTTACTCGTTTATTGCTACTCTAATTAAGCGCATGTGCAGTTTGTGTGCTTGCTGGGTCGTCTCCTCGACTTTTTCGTCCTCTTCTGTAGTCCTTCACAACCGCGCTACTCCGAATGCTCTCCTAATACAGGAAGTATTTTCTGGCTAGATGCGAGTCACCAGTGTTTCAGAAGTTTTCAGCCACCTTCAAATGATCCATAGGGTTTGTCTCATGATATAGTGCGCCGAAGTTACTATCAACTAAATGGTAGTTCCAAGCATGGTATGCACAGATTAGTTGTAGTTAAATTAAACAAATATTTACAGTAGTTCTTAATTCACTGAGATATATTAAACTTCCACATTGAATATGGACTATGTGGAAAATGTGCTTCCTTCACTTTTAAGTCAGAGATGAATCGCTTGGTGATCGTTTAGACATGTATTATGCTCTGTGAAACCGTTTACTGATATGACTTATACTACAGGTTCTGGTCGGTTATTAGAGACGTTGACAATCTTATGGGTAAGACATATGCATTCCTGTGTCCTCTCCTGGCACCTGTTAGTCTCCGACAAGGCTTGGAGTGCTTTTTATCATTGATCCTCTCTACATTTATTGCTGGTTGAGCAGACCACCTGATTTCCGACCACTGGATCTCAAGCTGCGATTCTGATCAGTCAGTCTCGGGTTAGCAAGTTGAACAAAGTAACTCCAAACCAAGTTTTCTAGCTTGTACATAGTTACCAAGCTGTATTAAGGTAGGCTGTTTGTTTTAATATCAACAATGCTTAGGATAAAAACAACTAATATATATATATATATATATATATATAATATGCGATGTAAGTTCCCTAATGAACTATCCCGAACCAAAACGAAATAACTCTTTTGTAGTTCGTGATTGATTTACAATAGTTATTCAGCTTCTGCAGTTTCTGGTGGAAAATATTTTAGAAATTAACAATTAAAAGCTTAAAATATCTGTATTCTCCACAAATAAACAAAACTTATAGTTTATATCTTAATTTGTAAGATTTGAGTTATCCTATGGTTGATAATAAAAACTGATCAGTTCAAAATAGGACGATAAGTCGATTTGCAAAGCCAGATTAGTTGTACCGAAGAACCATGGTAAAAGTGAAAGTGAGAAGCCCAACTTATTCTGACGTCTAACAACCGTGTAACTATTGCAAAGCATTCATAAATACTGAAGAAGAAAGTCTAATGGACTAAAGTGAAATTTTGAAGTACATGGTTCTTTAACTATTGCCTACAAAGTAACTTGTAGTTTTAAGCTATACAACATTGAAGGACTATGTAAATTCCATCATTTGAGGTGTTGATGAAGAAAGTAATTGCAAAGTTCATGATACCGCGTTGTCTGATGAACAGAAATCATCGTCTATACTTACTGGTGTAAATATTTAGAAGTAAGACCTTATTACTATGAACAAGACGCCATCAAATATTTCAATGAAATGCTCAAGAAACAATCCTTAAATAGAAACTCCTAGCTGCTGTGGCCTTAAACTGGTTGTGAACACAGTTCGAGGACAATAAGACTTGTTTCACCACCGATCTCCATCAGTTTTGTAGGTAGAAGTTTGTTGTCCATATGATAATTTTGTTTCGTTAGTTCAAAAGTTGCTTAGATTCATGAACCAAGTATTTCTGAAGCAAGTTGACTAAGCGCTGGTAAATTCTGCTAATTCATCATGTATTCTCCAAGTTTCTTACTGAAACCCTCAATAAATGAAACACGCCTTGTCAGTCGTTTTAAAATATAGCAAAGCTCGATATTCAGTATCTAATCTGGTGTTTACAGCGTTTTTTTCCCGGCAAGTGCTTTATGTTAGGAGATTAAATAAAATTCTTAGGTCTAAATTTGGGTCTTTAATGTTTATTTTGTTTCAAAATTTTCACACAACAGTTTGTGTATACCGTCAAATTTACAGCAAGTTTTCGTATCAATGTGCCTTAGTATTACTGTATTATTGCTATATTTTATATGACTACACAACATTTATTGGAAATAGGTCGTCACAACACCAAATTCTCATTTGCGAACATCTGAAGATTTGCTTCAAAATAACTTCGTTTGTTTATACACAGTCTTTTTTCTATTATCTAAGCGTCATTTTCAATCCATTTATCTTTATTTGTTATTAAAATAAAATTAAGCTTATCTTATTCTACCATACACTAGATATATAAAGATATATTCACTAACTTCTTTGTAAAATACACACATAAAATTTCAGCTTTGAAGTAAACATCTTGGAGGCTCTCACCTGATGGCTGATGACAATGTGTCTAGTTGGGCCCATGGCGAGAGATGTTTGCCTAATGCTTAAAATTATTGTTTGCTAGAAATAGGCGATAATCTGAGCGTAGCTGCAACAGACGGTTGCCATTATCTGATCTTTGAACCACGGTTCCATAAGATCCGGGCCCACGATATGAAAGTCACTGATGTTTAGAGAGCTTGAACGATATGACTCGAAATCGTTTGCAATGGCGCATGTGCATTCATTCTTTGTGTTCTTTGGAATTCTAATCCTCGGAATGCCTCATCATCTTTATCTTTTTCTTTCTAAAGTTTATCTCACTGAACTATAATTGAACAATATCTTCGATATTTCATCTTCTCCATTACTGCTGATACTTCTACTATCGCTATCACTCTTGGATTTGAATTGACAGTTGCGTCTCTGTGCTGATGTGGTATGGCAACCTGAACTTATGTACTTACGTACGAAGTTCTACGCCGTAACAGACTGACTAATTCCTTAAGACCCACACAGGTGTCTTTCCTTTACACTTAGTCTACTTACTTGAGCAATAAAGTCACCAGCCATTATTACTATATCACAGCGCCTAACTTTTTAGAGGAGTCCCGAAAGCTTGCTATAAAACTCATTTCTTACCTCGTCTAAACTGCAGTCATTGGGAGCGTAGGCAGATACGACGAACAGGAAACGGCGAGTGTCCCTATCTTTCCGAGTCCTTACTGTCCCAATAAGTCGGACAGCGCGCAAGCGACTGTCTGCCGGGATCCAGTCTAAGAGAGCTAGTTCTTCCCCTAGGGCTTAATACTATGCCTACACCAGCGAGGCCACTAAGAGCAGCTGCATGGCTTCCAGATACAGGGAACGTAAACCGAGTTCATTATCTATCTCGACAATGTGAAATCAAATTAATGATTTTACTAGGATCCTGTATGCTCGTTTCCTAGACACACCATACGTTGGTCGCACGGAATTCCAGAGTTCTAGCTAATGAAGTCTGTTGCCGTATTATGGCCCAAGTTTCAAACATTGAAAGCTCCAATATGTTACATAGGCTTGGGTTTCAGGAGACCAGGAATAATGTTTCGTGAGCTCAGACCGTTTGCTTCAGCGACGCGAGGTGACAAAGGAATGTGAGAAGGGTTGGTCGTGGAGATAAGAGAGTTATTAGGGGAGTGTAGGAAGGGTCTGATTGCGCGACCGATTTGGTCTCACATATTGTTACGCGTATGAGGGCTTGCGTCAATTTTCGGCTGCCCACACCATGGAAAGACTGGTTGGTAGAAGGGGCACCAGCCTCGTGACTTCCGAAGGAACTTAGCTTTCATCATGAGACGTCATAACTCTTCTAAGTTGAGACCTAACTCTCAGGGCAGAGTTTAAATGGTTTGAATTATTTTTTCTTGTAACCTCTCTTAACGATTTCGCTTTCTACGTTTTTCAACCTCAAGCCCAACCCTCTTTTATCCGGGCTTCGGACCGGCACTACCCACGAAGTTAGGTGAATGCAAGGGGCGGCCAAACCAAAACATGGCACAAATCCACGAAGTCACTGGCAAGTGGATTGAGTGATGTTGGTAAATGAAGTCTACCTAGTAGGGGTCTGCGAGATGGTAGTAATCGATGGTTAGAGACCTTGAATGACATGGCTCGAAATCGTTTGCAATTGAGCAGGTGCATCCACTCTTTGTGTTCTCTCAAATCTTAATCTTCTGAATTCCTCATGACCATTTTTTCTCGTTTTTAATTGATTCATCTGAGGTATACATCTCGAATGATATATTCGATCATTAATCTTTTTGATTACTGCTAATTCTTCTACTACCTCTACTACTATGGGATTTGAATTGACAATCGCGTCTCTGTGCTAATGTGGCATGGCGACTTGAACTGATGTACGTACGAACGAAGTTCTACGTTGTAACTGACTGACTAACTGATTGAACTTGGACCCATTGCTACAAGTTGGTTGATATTTATAGGGGCTCTTGTAAGATAGATCTGAGTTCAAACTAAGAACTCGATTGTAATTGATTGCTATATTGTGATCATTTTGATCTCATATTTTTAGTCCAAAGGATCCGGAACAATTATCGTGGAAAGTTGATTTCATTACTTTCATACGTTGTTTTGTTTGTCAATATGAATTAATCTTTACACGATTCTTGTATTCATTTTAGGTAGATTTTCGTCGATTGTACGTGGATATTTCAGACGTCCTCAGCAATACTCGAAGTTCTACATACGTGGTCGTCTAATGTTTGTTGGAATTTTAAGATAACTATTTGAATAGGTTATCGTTTATTGGTACTGATTGGACAGTTTCACTGTTACATGCCGGTTCCTATCTAAATATTGATGATATTTTGGCATCTAATGAACGTACATCATGCCGCGTTCGTGTATCACTACCATCTCTGGCTCCACTGCTACTTTCAGATGTCAAAGATAAAGTACATGGTGAAGGCATTAATGATGATTGCAAAGCGTCAAATGACGTCCCAGTAGGAAAAAGAGTTGATCTACCGGTTTGGCTAGCTATCGCTATCGGTAGCGGAAGGAGACAAATACTGAGCATAGACTTACCTCCAATTTATCGAGTATGATAGTAATTTATTTCCTTAACGCTTAGGATGCCTTTACTGAAGTGTTCGAAGCAGATCCTTGTGTAGTTGACCTTAAAAGAAAAGGATCTATGTATTACATGTTATTATGCAACTTACTGATGTCAGGTCATGTAAGAGTCCCACAAATTGTTGCTACTGGCACTAAGGTTTTTCAGGTGAGTCATTGTGTATAGGTGTTCTTAAATCAAATGTTATGTGATAAAGTGCGTTATTTACGGCTGAGTGACCGCAATGAAGTTCGTACCCGAACCAATAGTTCCACTTTTTTCACTTCACTTCAGTGAAATAACAAAAGTCAACAAAAATGTAAAGATATTAAATAAAAACATATGACTGGAAAAGAAGAGAAATAATGGAAGACAAAAATTGCTTCAATCATACCTTTAGTATTGTGAAAGGAATTGGCAGTTTGTACAGTTATAAAAGATAACTTGTGTGATCCTCAATTACATGGTTCGAGGAAAAATCTAAATGTCTTACTTTCGAAACCATTGTGATTCCAAACAAATCAAAGCCTCCAAGACTATCCACCTAAGCTTCATCCCTTAATCATGTCACAATTTAGCAGACTATTTGTCATCTTTTAGTTGTATTTAAGGTAAATAAATCTAGATTAACTCTATAAATACACTTAGATTATTCTAAACTACATTTTGAATTGCATGTAGTTCTCTAATTTTTCAAGCTGTACTACTAGTGTCCTATGAAATGTATTCAAATAGAATTATATTCAAAGCTGTGTTTTTACATAAATCACGAACTCTCTATGTCCTTCTTCCGTTGTGTTCAGTACTTGATCATAAAGTTCTCATACAGATCGTCCATTAATCTCTATTATCTCCTAATGTGTTTCAGTATAACCAGCATTACAAACTTAGTGTTGTGCAATTAATTAAATGCATGCATATTTAAGAGAGATGATTTTTAATCAATGCCTTACATATTGACCACTTTTTCTATAGTTATTTCTCTTGTTTAGCAGGAAATTATGTAGAGCTTTCCGCAGATAGTACCTTAACGCTTCTCATTTTAGTCACTTGAAGTACTTACTTACTTACTTTCGCCTGTTACCCCAAATGGAGCATAGGCCGCTCACCAGTTTTCTCCAACCAACTCTGTCCTGGGCTTCTTCCTCCAGTTCTGTCCAATGTTTGTTCATTGCTCTCATATCTTTCTCTATTTCACGGCGTAATGTATTCTTTGGCCTTCCTCTTTTCCTTTTGCCTTGAGGGTTCCATGTGAGGGCTTGTCTCGTGACGCAGTTAGGTGCTTTTCGTAGAGTGTGTCCTATCCACTTCCAACGCTTCTTCCTGATTTCCTCTTCCACTGGAATCTGACTTGTTCTCTCCCACAGTTCGTTGTTGCTGATGGTGTCTGGCCATCGAATACGAAGTATTTTACGTAGACAGCTGTTAATAAACACTTGTATCTTCTGGATGATGGCTTTGGTAGTTCTCCATGTTTCCGCTCCATACATTAGAACTGTCTTGACATTTGTATTGAAAATCCTTATTTTGGTGTTGATTGATATCTGTTTGGAGTTCCAGATATTTTTCAACTGTAGAAATGCAGCCCTTGCTTTGCCAATCCGTGCCCTCACATCTGCATCCGATCCACCTTTCTCGTCGATGATGCTGCCCAGATATGTAAAGGTGTTAATGTCCTCCAAGGCATCTCCATCAAGAGTGATTTGATTGGTGCATGTTGTGTTGCATCGGAGAATTTTGCTCTTTCCTTTATGTATGTTGAGACCTACTGCTGCAGAGGCTGCTGCTACACTGGTCGTCTTCTCTTGCATTTGTTGTTGCGTGTGCGATAGAAGAGCCAGATCATCTGCGAAGTCCAGATCGTCCAGCTGCGTCCTAACTGTCCAGTTGATACCGTGCTTCCCTCCAGCTGTTGACGTTTTCATAATCCAGTCGATCACCAGGAGAAAGAGGAAGGGTGAAAGTAAGCAACCTTGCCTGACACCGGTCTTTACCTCGAAAGAGTCGGTTAGCTGTCCTCCGTGCACGATTTTGCAGTTGAATCAATCATAAGAGTTCCGTATGATGTTGACTATTTTCTCAGGCACACCGTAGTGTCGAAGAAGAGTCCACAGTGTTTTCCTGTCCACGCTATCGAATGCTTTCTCGTAGTCGATGAAGTTGATGTAGAGTGGTGAGTTCCATTCAATTGATTGTTCCACAATGATCCGTAATGTAGCAATTTGGTCAGTACACGATCGATCCTTCCGAAATCCGGCCTGTTGATCTCGAAGTTGGGCGTCTACGAAGTCCTTCATTCTGTTTAACAATACCCTGTTGAAGACTTTGCCTGGTATTGAAAGAAGAGTGATGCCTCTGTAGTTCTCACACTTGCTGAGGTCGCCTTTCTTTGGTATTTTGATCAGGTATCCTTCCTTCCAGTCTGATGGTACTTGTTCCTCATCCCAAATCTTCTTGAAGAGGATGTGAAATATTTTCGCCGTTGCTTCTACATCTGCTTTCATTGCCTCTGCTGGAATGTTGTCTGGTCCTGCTGCTTTGCCGTTCTTGATTTGTCTGATGGCCATACTGATCTCCTCAATCGTAGGTGCGCCAATATTAATTCGGAGGTCCGTGGATGCTGCTTCGATGTTGGGTGTCTTCAGAGGAGCTGGTCGATTTAGGAGTTCCTTAAAGTGCTCTACCCACCTATTTCGCTGTTGTTCAGTGTTGCTGATTACTTTGCCTTCCTTGTTTTTCACTGGTCGTTCTGGTTTACGATAGTTCCCGGCGAGCTTCTTTGTAGTTTCATACAATTGTCTCAAGTTTCCGTCTCTTGCAGCCTTTTCCGCCGTCGTTGCTAGATCTTCCACGTATTTTCGTTTGTCAGCTCTGATGCTCTTCTTCACTTCCCTGTTTGCTTCTGTGTATGCAGCTTGTGCGGTAACTCTCTCCGCTCTTGTTCGGCTGACATTGATTGCTGCTTTCTTGTTCCTCCTTTCTTCAATTTTTGCGAGAGTATCAACAGAGATCCATTCCTTATGATGCTGCTTCTTGCGACCAAGGACCTCCTGACATGTTGAAGTGATTGCCTCCTTAATCCCTTTCCAATTGTTCTCCAATGTTGTGTCCTCTCCATTGTGTAGATCCTGTAAGGCCTGGAACCTATTGGTGAGGGCTATCTTGAATTCGTTGAGCTTTACAGTATCCCGAAGAAAGGCCGTATTAAACTTGTGTGATGTTGTCTGTCCCGTTGTCCAGTGCTTCTTTAGTTTCAGTTTCATTTTGGCGATTAGCAAATGGTGATCTGAGGCTACATCAGCTCCTCTCTTGGTTCTCACATCCTCCATAGTCCTTCTGAACGTTTTGTTGATACAGATATGATCAATCTGGTTTTGAGTAGTGTGATCCGGTGAAATCCATGTGGCTTTGTGAATGCGTTTGTGCGGGAATATTGTGCCACCGATGACCAGTTTGTTGAAGGCACATAGGTTTGCAAATCTCTCACCGTTTTCGTTTCTTTCTCCCAGTCCATGTCGTCCCATGATGTCTTCATATCCAGTGTTGTCCATTCCAACCTTGGCATTCAGGTCTCCCATAAGAATCGTCAAATCCTTTGGTGAACATTTCTCGACGATTGACTGCAGCCTTTCGTAGAATTGATCTTTGTCGTCGTCATTGTAGTCGTTGGTAGGTGCATAACATTGGATGACGTTCATTGTAATGTCCTCTTTCTTTGTTTTGAAGGATGCTTTAATGATCCTGGGTCCATGAGATTCCCATCCTATTAGTGCCTTTTGTGCATGTTTGGACAGCATCAATGCAACTCCTTGTGTATGTGAAGCATTTTCCTCTTCATGACCAGAGTATAACAGCAGTTCCCCTGAAGCAAGTCTCAGTTGTCCTACTTGTGTCCAATGTGTTCCACTGATACCAAGCACCTCGAGGTTGTATCTTCTCATTTCTGCCGCAACTTGAAATAGTCTTCCAGTCTCCCACAATGTACGAACGTTCCATGTACCTAAAAAAATGGTTGCTCTGGTTGTCAGAAGAGGCATCAGCCCCGTGACTTCCGAGGGAACTCGGCTTTCATCACGCGACGTCATAATTCTTCCTCCAACTCCCAGGGCAGAGTTAAAATGGTTTGAATTATTTTTTCTGGTTAGCGTTTTTTGGCAAGTTAGTTTTTGACGGAATGGGGTCGCCAACCCCATGTCCAACCCTCCTCCTTTACCCGGGCTTGGGACCGGCAGTAGCCCCGAAGGTTCTACTGGCGGAGTTAGTCACTTGAAGTAAAACTGAGAAATGCTCTCAAAACGTTGTCACTGTTCTGAAGGTAATTTATTCTACTGGTACTCGGCGAGTTATAGCTACTCAGAAGCAGTCAAGGGAAACTAGGACTGTATTAGTTGAATTTTTTTATAGACAGAAATAACTGAAATCGGTATTTTAAACAATAATACATGTTCTCAAGTAATGTATTATAAGTAATTTGTCACTATCACTGTTGTAATAGTTATACACTTTCATATTTTTTTATCTCATACATCATCAGTCACGATTGAAGATGATTATGGATGCCTCACTTAATGCTTCTCGACAAGATACTTTGTCGTCTACATCTAAGTAAGTTTTAGTAGGTAAAATATTTTTTAATGTTATGTTCTAAAGTAATTATATGGAATCCCAGCTACAACAGTCTAAACTTCAAAAACAAATAATCAGTAAACTTGGTATATTCTGGGATCATCGAGTAAGCAATGTTGGTGTTACAGAAAGGATACAAGGTAAAGATGGCAAATCAATTAATGAAGTAGTGGATTGTCATCAGCTGAGGTAGTTGGGACATACGTTATGTATACCCACCCACCGACCGCCTCGACGAACTATGTTCTCTGATGTAGAGGCAGGCTAGAAGAAAGCTGTGGGCGGCCAAACCAAAGTCAGTTACAACGTAGAACTTCGTGCGTACGTACATCACTTCATGTTGCCATACCACATCAGCACAGAAATGCAACTGTCAGTTCAAATTCCATAGAAGTAGAGGCAGTAGAAGTGTTAGCGGTAATGGAGGAAATTCGAAAATATTACTCAAGAAGTGTAGTTCAGTGAAATAAACTTAAGAAGAGAAAGATAAAGTTGCTGAGGAATCCAGAAGATTAGGATTTGAGAGAACACAAAGAGTGGATGCACCTGCTCAATTGCAAACGATTTCGAGCCATGTCATTCAAGGTCTCTAACCATCGATTACTACCATCTCGCGGACCCCAACTAGGTAGAATTCATTTACCAACATCACTCAATCCACTTGCCAGTGACTTCGTGGATTTGTGCCATGTTTTGGTTTGGCCACCCTAGCTTTTTTCCAACGGACTCCAATACCACAAAACATAGCTCGTCGAGGCAGTCGGTGGTCGGGCATTCGTAACACATGTCCCACCACCCAAACTGATGAAGTTTCACTACTTCATTTACTGATCTGCCATCCTTACCTAGTACTCGTTTCCTAGCAGCAGCAACAGCATTACTTACTCCATGGTCCCATGATATACGAGCAATGATTCGGAGACACCTATGATCGAAAACCAGTAACCTACGAATATCTTCTCTCACTGGCCATGAAATAGGACGGAGCGAACTGATGCGCAGAACACTCGTCCTTTGGTTAGCAAACGGATATCTCACCTATACCGTAAGTGACACAAGTTGGCAAAAGCAAATCGAGCCTACTGTATCCGTGCCAAGATTTCGTCAGTCACCAGGCCATCAGCATTGATGAGATTCCCGAGGTAGGTAAAGCGGTCAACACGCTCAATAGCTTCATTCCTCATCACTAGTTCAGATGCCGACGCAAGCCAATCCTGAAGCAACATTTTGCATTTCGAGGGGCAAAACCGCATCCTGAACATGCTTGCATTGCTGCTTAGGGTAGTCAGAAGACTCTGCATTTTGTCAACATCCTCAACAAATTGAACAATGTAACCGGCATATTCTAAGTCAACAAGCGAGTTTCCTGATAGAACATCCACCCTTGAAAAGTCAGACGAAGGTAATGTTAACTCTAAAAGCTTGCTACAACAAAGTTAAACAGGAATGGAGAAAGGGGATAGTTCTGACGGACGCCACTTGAAGTAATCTATTCCAATGACAGTTCACCATAAGCTCTGACCCGACCAGTGGTGTTCGAGTTTACTCGAACAATGTTAGTGTACTTCCTTGATACTCCTTTCAACACCGCTGCTATAGAACCTCACAATCAACAGAGTCGAGTGCCGCCTTAAGGTCGAGAAATACTACTATTGTGATGCGTCGGAACGAGTGTCTTTGTTCTAGGACCTGATGTAGTGCGTATAATTGGTCTATACTGCCACGTCCGGGTCTGAAACCAGCCTGGTTTTCTCGGGTCTGCTCTTCACGAGCTTTCGTTAAGCGTCGGAGTATTATTGAGGCCATATATTAGAAACTAAATTAGTTAGACTGATCCCTCTGTGATTGTCACAAGAGGACTTTTATCCTTTCTTGTAAATTGGGACAATCGGTGATTGAGACCAGTCGGATAGGATTACACCTAGTTCTCAGATTCTATCTAAGATCTCAGTCAACCTAACTGTTAAAACTGAGCCACCATCCTTAAAAATCTCAATGGTAAGCCTATCAGGCCCTGCTGCTCTACCTCGCTTTAAATTTCCTATAGCCTTCTCAACTTCATAAGCACTCGAAGGACTTACATCGGTTTGCTTATTCAGGTTGATGGGAGATTGTAGGCAACCGAAGTGTGGCTAAAGGCCAGTTGAACTGATCTCTGAAGTGTTCTTCCCATCGATCCAATCTCCTGGATTGAGAATTAATGATAAAGCCATCATTTTCTGATATAGTTTTGCTAACAGATGGAATCCTAATACCGGTTTCCTTGATAAGTCGGAACTACTGTCTGCTGTTGCCTATTGCCGTTGACTTTTCCATCTCTCTTTTGCTACCCACCACTGTTTGCGATCATTGCGTAGGCTTTTTAGCAGCCTGCGCTTAAGCTGACTTCGCTCTTCGTCATGTTCAGAGTAAGACGGGTATCTATCAGCTCGGCAAATATCACTGATATCCTTATACTTAAAGTTAGTGTTTGCTAGAAGTAGGCGATTATCTTAGCATAGCTGCAGCAGACGGTCGCTACTATCTGATCTTTGAGCCACGATTCCATAAGATCCACCCACGTGTCTTTCCTTCATACTTAGTCTACCTACTTGAGCATTAAAGTCACCAGCCATTATTACTATATCAGAGCACCTAACTTTTTGGAAGTCCATATGCAGAAAGCGTAAACCGAATGGATTCTCTATCTGGACAAGATGAAATCAAATTATTGTTTTTACTAGGATCCCGTATGCGCGTTTCCGAGACGCAACATGCGTTGGTCGCCCGGGATTCCAGAGTTCTAACTGATTAAGCCTGTTGCCGTATTATGGCACAAGGTTCGAACAATAAAATCTACAACATATAGTTTAGAACGGGGGTTTCAACGGATAAGGATTAAGGTTTCGTGAGCTTAGAATGTTAGCTTCAGCGGCGCCACCGTCTCGAGCTAAGCCGAAACTTGGCACAAAAACATAATGTCACTGAAAGCTGGCCTAGTCTATTGTGATGGATGTAGACCACAAGGCTGAGGTCTGCGTGACAATCGTAACGGTTTTCATTTGCACAGGTATATGTATTCTTTATAATCTCTCAAATTCTAATCTGAATTCTTTATCACCTTTTTTCGCTTTTTAAATTCATCTTACTGGATATATCTTTGATCGCTAATCTTTTCCATCATCGATAATGCTGATATTGCCTCTACCACTATGGGATTTGAATTTACACTTCCATGTAATTGTGCTAACGTGGTATGGCAACTCGAACTGATGTACGTCCGTGCGAAGTTCTATTTGTTGCTGACTGACTGAACTTTGTTTAATCCAAAACTTTACGATCAGTCTTTCAGCCAAATGTAATCTCATAAATCGTGCGATTTAGTCGAAATATATTCACTCCTATAAATATGAAACATAAACTTGAACGACTAGTTTCCCGATTTTGCATGACCATAATGAATTCAACGTTTGTTGCCGTTTTTCTGGATCATAATAAGTAATAACTGAATGTAGATACCTTAGTTTGTATTACTGATGTTATTTCGCCCTACACGTATTTCATTTTCATAGAAATTGTTTCTATTTTTTTCCTTTTAATAAATAATCAATCGAAAAATTTAGATTTGACTGCTTGGAAATGGCTTTATTTCGGATTGGTCAAACAGATAGATTACAATTTGAACGTTGGATTTCACGCCATCATGAAAAGATTGAAGCCTCAAGAACATTTCGTTCTATACCTATGAAATAGAAATTATTCATTGTTCAGAGTTCTATTTTATCTAAAGAAGGGTGATTATTGTAGTCAGACGCTCTTTGTACATTCATAATACACAATCATAAAATAACTTAAAACGTAAACCTAACGCGGATCTTTGTAAATTCTGTAAATTCAGATTGTAATCAATTTTTTATTTATGATCATCAGAATACTTTCAGCTTATTCTGAAATAACTTTGTTTAAATTTGGTCACCCGTTTTTCTTTTAGATATAGTGACAGGTGTTCAAAGAAATTTCAAATGATGTTTTGAATTTTGTGAAACTGTTTCACTTAGACATTTGATAGCTAACCAGTAGATCACTCGCACACGAACTTTGGACGATTAGGTAGATTTATAAACCTTCAAATAAAAATTGTGATTCATAGGATCGCGTTATTTGTATTCGTAGGGCTGCTAGATTTTATTCTTTAACAGATTCCATCCGAATGCTTTCTTGTAATATTGTTGTTAATGTCGTAAATAGCTTCTCTAAGCGTATATCGCTAACAAATTTCTTCGCACTTAGCGGATCGATTGTTTTCTACAAAAGGTTGCTAGCGTTTTCGATTCTTCTGTTCTAGGATTTGATTGAGAAACCTTTCATTATGATTTAAAGCCGTCGAACTGGTTTAGAATTCCTTCATGTTTTTGTTGGGGACGTTAGATCCCCAGAACCCACTTGGAAAAGGTCCTAATTTTGTAATTTTATTCTGGAATTTTGAATTTCTATGTTTTCGCGCCAGAGTTGCTAAGTTGACATCTAGCCTATATTTCTCACTCGAAAAATCCTTGACTGTCATTGGTTGATGTATTATTTTAGTACGATATTTTTTGGCTTTCCCAAGGGCGTTTCTATCATTGTCTAGGTGAGCTTAATTTGTGTGCCTAGCCACCTCGTATTTTCTGGGTGCTTGTAGAATACATTTTCCACGCCTTATCAAGACTTCTCGATCTAGTTAGTAGGGCCTGCGATAAACGGATAAAAATAGCCTATCGTGTCACTGTATCATTGATCTTCGTTCCGTTTACCGAGTAAGGTGAACTCGTAATCGTTTCAAGCATATCAGTTTTCAAATAACGGAAAAGACATTGCATGATTATGGAAAAAAGGCACTTCAGCGAAGGAAATTTTCTTTTCGACAATTTCATGTGCTTGAGCTTTACAATTTTATTTGCTAAAAATAGTACAAAATAAGTCATGAATACGACTGGACAGCTTAAGTAAACTAATTTGTTTGGAAGCGGATTTTCATAGTTGAATTGCATTTCTCAATTTAGTTCTACTGTTCAGTTCATCAAGTGAATAACGATAATTTGGAAACACTAGACGGCCTTCATAAATAAGTAGGATGCTCAAATGTAATAATCAAATGTATATTTTATCTTCCAAAGAACATAAAATAGTCTTACGCCTGTAACTCATCATGGAGCATAGGCGGCTGATCAGCAATCTTATACCAGCTCTCTCCTATGCTCTTTCTGGTTGTTCCCGATGGCTATTCATCCTTTTGATATCTACCTCTGGTTATAGGTTTTCCTCTTTTCCTTTGGTTTTGACGATCCCATGTTATGAATTGTTTTATTGTGTAGTTGGGTGCTTTCCGCAATGTGTCCTATCCACCTCCAGCACTCTCCTGATTTCTTCCTCTGCTGGAAGTTGGTTTGTTCTCCCCCGCAGTAGGTTATCGCTCATGGTGTCTGGTCGGCAGATCCACAGTATCTTGTGTAGACAACTGTTAATAAACTCCTGCAACTTATGGATGATGGCTTTGTAGTTCTCCAAGTGCCAGCTGTATGCAATAGTGCTGTCTTGACGTTTTTAATGAAAACTGCTGTTGACTGACAGTTGTTTTGAGTTCCAGGTACTCTTCATTTATGGGGATCCTATCCTCGTTTTGAAAATTCTGCATTAGATCTGCTTTATTTATAGGTGCTGCTCAGATTTCCACATTTTCCAAAGCTCCACCAAATGTGGTTAGGTTGGTGAATGTTGTGTTTTATCTAAGTATCTTTGATTTTCTAATAGGTATGCTGAGTCCTGCTGCTCAAGAGGATGCTGCTACACTGGCCATAATCAACTACATTTGTTGCTGTGTGTGAAATAGAAGAGCAAGGTCAGATGTAAAGCCCTAATCGTCTAGTTGTATCGAAGATGTCTACCATATTCCGTGATCCCTCCCCATGTAAAACCATATGAAAACGAATCGGCAGCAATCAAATCCTTCGTAATCACCTGTAATAACTCATCTCCACGACCAGCCTTTATCACGTTCTTTGTAACTGGCGCTGGTGAAGCAAACAGTCTAAGCTCACGAAACCTTAATCCTTATCCGTTGAAACCCCCGTTCTAAACTATATGTTGGAGATTTTATTGTTCGAACCTTGTGCCATAATACGGCAACAGGCTTAATCAGTTAGAACTCTGGAATCCCGGGCGACCAACGCATGTTGCGTCTCGGAAACGCGCATACGGGATCCTAGTAAAAACAATAATTTGATTTCATCTTGTCCAGATAGAGAATCCATTCGGTTTACGCTTTCTGCATATGGACTTCCAAAAAGTTAGGTGCTCTGATATAGTAATAATGGCTGGTGACTTTAATGCTCAAGTAGGTAGACTAAGTATGAAGGAAAGACACGTGGGTGGATCTTATGGAATCGTGGCTCAAAGATCAGATAGTAGCGACCGTCTGCTGCAGCTATGCTAAGATAATCGCCTACTTCTAGCAAACACTAACTTTAAGTATAAGGATATCAGTGATATTTGCCGAGCTGATAGATACCCGTCTTACTCTGAACATGACGAAGAGCGAAGTCAGCTTAAGCGCAGGCTGCTAAAAAGCCTACGCAATGATCGCAAACAGTGGTGGGTAGCAAAAGAGAGATGGAAAAGTCAACGGCAATAGGCAACAGCAGACAGTAGTTCCGACTTATCAAGGAAACCGGTATTAGGATTCCATCTGTTAGCAAAACTATATCAGAAAATGATGGCTTTATCATTAATTCTCAATCCAGGAGATTGGATCGATGGGAAGAACACTTCAGAGATCAGTTCAACTGGCCTTTAGCCACACTTCGGTTGCCTACAATCTCCCATCAACCTGAATAAGCAAACCGATGTAAGTCCTTCGAGTGCTTATGAAGTTGAGAAGGCTATAGGAAATTTAAAGCGAGGTAGAGCAGCAGGGCCTGATAGGCTTACCATTGAGATTTTTAAGGATGGTGGCTCAGTTTTAACAGTTAGGTTGACTGAGATCTTAGATAGAATCTGAGAACTAGGTGTAATCCTATCCGACTGGTCTCAATCACCGATTGTCCCAATTTACAAGAAAGGATAAAAGTCCTCTTGTGACAATCACAGAGGGATCAGTCTAACTAATTTAGTTTCTAATATATGGCCTCAATAATACTCCGACGCTTAACGAAAGCTCGTGAAGAGCAGACCCGAGAAAACCAGGCTGGTTTCAGACCCGGACGTGGCAGTATAGACCAATTATACGCACTACATCAGGTCCTAGAACAAAGACACTCGTTCCGACGCATCACAATAGTAGTATTTCTCGACCTTAAGGCGGCACTCGACTCTGTTGATTGTGAGGTTCTATAGCAGCGGTGTTGAAAGGAGTATCAAGGAAGTACACTAACATTGTTCGAGTAAACTCGAACACCACTGGTCGGGTCAGAGCTTATGGTGAACTGTCATTGGAATAGATTACTTCAAGTGGCGTCCGTCAGAACTATCCCCTTTCTCCATTCCTGTTTAACTTTGTTGTAGCAAGCTTTTAGAGTTAACATTACCTTCGTCTGACTTTTCAAGGGTGGATGTTCTATCAGGAAACTCGCTTGTTGACTTAGAATATGCCGGTTACATTGTTCAATTTGTTGAGGATGTTGACAAAATGCAGAGTCTTCTGACTACCCTAAGCAGCAATGCAAGCATGTTCAGGATGCGGTTTTGCCCCTCGAAATGCAAAATGTTGCTTCAGGATTGGCTTGCGTCGGCATCTGAACTAGTGATGAGGAATGAAGCTATTGAGCGTGTTGACCGCTTTACCTACCTCGGGAATCTCATCAATGCTGATGGCCTGGTGACTGACGAAATCTTGGCACGGATACAGTAGGCTCGATTTGCTTTTGCCAACTTGTGTCACTTACGGTATAGGTGAGATATCCGTTTGCTAACCAAAGGACGAGTGTTCTGCGCATCAGTTCGCTCCGTCCTATTTCATGGCCAGTGAGAGAAGATATTCGTAGGTTACTGGTTTTCGATCATAGGTGTCTCCGAATCATTGCTCGTATATCATGGGACCATGGAGTAAGTAATGCTGTTGCTGCTGCTAGGAAACGAGTACTAGGTAAGGATGGCAGATCAGTAAATGAAGTAGTGAAACTTCATCAGTTTGGGTGGTGGGACATGTGTTACGAATGCCCGACCACCGACTGCCTCGACGAGCTATGTTTTGTGGTATTGGAGTCCGTTGGAAAAAAGCTAGGGTGGCCAAACCAAAACATGGCACAAATCCACGAAGTCACTGGCAAGTGGATTGAGTGATGTTGGTAAATGAATTCTACCTAGTTGGGGTCCGCGAGATGGTAGTAATCGATGGTTAGAGACCTTGAATGACATGGCTCGAAATCGTTTGCAATTGAGCAGGTGCATCCACTCTTTGTGTTCTCTCAAATCCTAATCTTCTGGATTCCTCAGCAACTTTATCTTTCTCTTCTTAAGTTTATTTCACTGAACTACACTTCTTGAGTAATATTTTCGAATTTCCTCCATTACCGCTAACACTTCTACTGCCTCTACTTCTATGGAATTTGAACTGACAGTTGCATTTCTGTGCTGATGTGGTATGGCAACATGAAGTGATGTACGTACGCACGAAGTTCTACGTTGTAACTGACTTTGGTTTGGCCGCCCACAGCTTTCTTCTAGCCTGCCTCTACATCAGAGAACATAGTTCGTCGAGGCGGTCGGTGGGTGGGTATACATAACGTATGTCCCAACTACCTCAGCTGATGACAATCCACTACTTCATTAATTGATTTGCCATCTTTACCTTGTATCCTTTCTGTAACACCAACATTGCTTACTCGATGATCCCAGAATATACCAAGTTTACTGATTATTTGTTTTTGAAGTTTAGACTGTTGTAGCTGGGATTCCATATAATTACTTTAGAACATAACATTAAAAAATATTTTACCTACTAAAACTTACTTAGATGTAGACGACAAAGTATCTTGTCGAGAAGCATTAAGTGAGGCATCCATAATCATCTTCAATCGTGACTGATGATGTATGAGATAAAAAAATATGAAAGTGTATAACTATTACAACAGTGATAGTGACAAATTACTTATAATACATTACTTGAGAACATGTATTATTGTTTAAAATACCGATTTCAGTTATTTCTGTCTATAAAAAAATTCAACTAATACAGTCCTAGTTTCCCTTGACTGCTTCTGAGTAGCTATAACTCGCCGAGTACCAGTAGAATAAATTACCTTCAGAACAGTGACAACGTTTTGAGAGCATTTCTCAGTTTTACTTCAAGTGACTAACTCCGCCAGTAGAACCTTCGGGGCTACTGCCGGTCCCAAGCCCGGGTAAAGGAGGAGGGTTGGACATGGGGTTGGCGACCCCATTCCGTCAAAAACTAACTTGCCAAAAAACGCTAACCAGAAAAAATAATTCAAACCATTTTAACTCTGCCCTGGGAGTTGGAGGAAGAATTATGACGTCGCGTGATGAAAGCCGAGTTCCCTCGGAAGTCACGGGGCTGATGCCTCTTCTGACAACCAGAGCAACCATTTTTTTAGGTACATGGAACGTTCGTACATTGTGGGAGACTGGAAGACTATTTCAAGTTGCGGCAGAAATGAGAAGATACAACCTCGAGGTGCTTGGTATCAGTGGAACACATTGGACACAAGTAGGACAACTGAGACTTGCTTCAGGGGAACTGCTGTTATACTCTGGTCATGAAGAGGAAAATGCTTCACATACACAAGGAGTTGCATTGATGCTGTCCAAACATGCACAAAAGGCACTAATAGGATGGGAATCTCATGGACCCAGGATCATTAAAGCATCCTTCAAAACAAAGAAAGAGGACATTACAATGAACGTCATCCAATGTTATGCACCTACCAACGACTACAATGACGACGACAAAGATCAATTCTACGAAAGGCTGCAGTCAATCGTCGAGAAATGTTCACCAAAGGATTTGACGATTCTTATGGGAGACCTGAATGCCAAGGTTGGCATGGACAACACTGGATATGAAGACATCATGGGACGACATGGACTGGGAGAAAGAAACGAAAACGGTGAGAGATTTGCAAACCTATGTGCCTTCAACAAACTGGTCATCGGTGGCACAATATTCCCGCACAAACGCATTCACAAAGCCACATGGATTTCACCGGATCACACTACTCAAAACCAGATTGATCATATCTGTATCAACAAAACGTTCAGAAGGACTATGGAGGATGTGAGAACCAAGAGAGGAGCTGATGTAGCCTCAGATCACCATTTGCTAATCGCCAAAATGAAACTGAAACTAAAGAAGCACTGGACAACGGGACAGACAACATCACACAAGTTTAATACGGCCTTTCTTCGGGATACTGTAAAGCTCAACGAATTCAAGATAGCCCTCACCAATAGGTTCCAGGCCTTACAGGATCTACACAATGGAGAGGACACAACATTGGAGAACAATTGGAAAGGGATTAAGGAGGCAATCACTTCAACATGTCAGGAGGTCCTTGGTCGCAAGAAGCAGCATCATAAGGAATGGATCTCTGTTGATACTCTCGCAAAAATTGAAGAAAGGAGGAACAAGAAAGCAGCAATCAATGTCAGCCGAACAAGAGCGGAGAGAGTTACCGCACAAGCTGCATACACAGAAGCAAACAGGGAAGTGAAGAAGAGCATCAGAGCTGACAAACGAAAATACGTGGAAGATCTAGCAACGACGGCGGAAAAGGCTGCAAGAGACGGAAACTTGAGACAATTGTATGAAACTACAAAGAAGCTCGCCGGGAACTATCGTAAACCAGAACGACCAGTGAAAAACAAGGAAGGCAAAGTAATCAGCAACACTGAACAACAGCGAAATAGGTGGGTAGAGCACTTTAAGGAACTCCTAAATCGACCAGCTCCTCTGAAGACACCCAACATCGAAGCAGCATCCACGGACCTCCGAATTAATATTGGCGCACCTACGATTGAGGAGATCAGTATGGCCATCAGACAAATCAAGAACGGCAAAGCAGCAGGACCAGACAACATTCCAGCAGAGGCAATGAAAGCAGATGTAGAAGCAACGGCGAAAATATTTCACATCCTCTTCAAGAAGATTTGGGATGAGGAACAAGTACCATCAGACTGGAAGGAAGGATACCTGATCAAAATACCAAAGAAAGGCGACCTCAGCAAGTGTGAGAACTACAGAGGCATCACTCTTCTTTCAATACCAGGCAAAGTCTTCAAATC